CACCACAAGATACGAAACCCTAACCAACAAAACTCTTCCATCATCCTCCATTTCCGTGTGAAGCACGAAAATACATGTCCCTCGATAAACGAGGATGAGCGTACACCCAACCAGAGACCGCAACGGGTTTAAAACCACCCTAAAGCTTTTATCCAACCCATGCAACAGATCCACATCCCTAACAATATGCTCCTTCACAAAGGTCACATCCAATCTACAGTCATGCAGCAGTGATATCAGCCCCTTCTGCATAGCCACAGTCTGCAGCCCATTGCCAATGAGCAATGCATTCACATTGATGTTCACATTGACCCTCCGGTCAATCCCAGAACGGCATTCAACTGCCACATGGTAAGGTAACCCACACCGAAAACAAGTGCACGACTGCCCCAACATAGAAACACTATATGGAGTTGCCCAGCAACACCATCGACGAGGGGATTGCAGTACGGACCTTCATAGTCAGCGTGCGAGTGCCGTTGGGGGCTCCGTGCAGACGTCCAGACTTGATGATGTTCTCACGATAGAACAAAATGCGGCCATATTTCTGAAAGAATCTGGGGACCAAATCCTCAGGGAATCCAAAAAGTAGCCCCCTCGCAACTACCCATTTAACCGACCCGCTGTGATCCGTCACACACACACGGATCCCGCACCATCAGACAGCTGTAGTCACTTCATCATACTTCCGCACAATCTCCTGAAACACTACAGGGCCATGGAACTTCACCAAAGCACAGTGACTTCTAACCACCTGCACCCCCGTCCTTAACTGCCACACACAAACCACCCACCACGTCCTTAACCGCCACACACAAAACGTCCAGAAAGGCCACCTCAACTAAAGAGTAGATCACACTCCCGGCAAAGTCCAACTCAATAGTGAGCACGTGCCTTACAGGCGCCGAATGCATCGCCATCTCATAGGACCACACGGCCCTGGGGCCCGCCCAACAGGCCACTATCAGCGCAAGGACGAAACTGTGAAGCAACTAGACAGACAACCATCTCCGCCCAGGGCCGAATGCCGAATCCTGCCCAAACAGCTCAGTCAACAGCTCATCAGACATCTCGAACGGGGCACCACGCACTGCCACGTATGTCAGTGACACACTCAGGTTGACCACCCTGGCGGTACACTCCCCTGCAGACATAGGAAAGGCCCTCACAACCAGATATGAATTCCTGGAACACATCTTGCTTCACGAAATTCATCATCACACGATGATCTTTAACAAGCTGTATGCCACCAACTCGGGTAACGACGTGGAGCACCTCCACCAACGCAATACTAACCGATGTATGATTTACCGGTGTGGAGAACTCCAAACCTGCCAAAGTAACTCTCTTTAAAGGAGGCATGGTAGACCCCAATGTCGAACACACGCACCTTGCACCACCAGCAAGGCGCCAAACAAGCCTTGTAACAGGTGCACAACCAACAACACCTCCACGCCCTACCTGCAAACTGGGGATGGGGATTGCCTCGTTGGCTACCAGGGGGTTTGGATGTGCTCGCCTGCCCTGCCAGTTGCTGCCTTGAGTTGCTAGGGGGCGGGTGCAGTTTGGCATGTCGGCGCCATGGGGGGCCCCCCTCCCTCCTGTTGTGCGTGCCCAGTCTATAGGCTTCGAGTTTTCTGCTCGAGCGGGATATTCTGAGGTGGGATTGGTGCTGTGTGACATGCTGCGGGTCCCTGTGGGGGATATTTATGGCGTTGAGCTGGTGACTGCCCGTAGGGTGATTGTTAAACTAACGATGGTGGAGGTGTATAGGGCGTTTTTACGTCGCTACGAGGGGCGGACCTTGCCCCTGCCCGAAGGTGCAGGCACTGTGACTGTTTCTGATCGCAGTGGTGCCGTCACGTATGTAAGTGTGCATGGGGCGCCCCTGGAGTTTCCGGTGGGTCTGCTGAGGCGTTATTTCGGCCAGTTTGGGGCGGTCGTCAGTGTGCAGTTGCACCTGCTCTCCTCAGGTTCACTAAAGGGTGTGCGGTCAAATATTCGCACCCCTAGGAATGAAGCTGCGGGCGAACATTCCATCTCAAGTGAAGCTTCTGGGGTGTTCTGTTTGGGTGTTTTATGCTCGTCAACCCCGTACGTGTTATTGTTGTGGCCTCTTGGGCCATCAGGCTGCTGGGTGCTCTGAACCTGCCGTCGCGCCCGTCAACCTCTTCCATGAGGAGGATTTCCCGCCACTCCCTGTGGATGTGGACGACTCTTTGGCTGCTGCCATGCCCCGTGTTTCGCCTGATGCGCCTCCTACTGATGTCGCCCCTCCTCCGGAGGCTGTGTCGCCTGTTGCGGTTGCCTCTCATCAGGAGGTTGTGTCGCCGTTGGGTGTTCGTCCTGGCCCGGTTGCTGTCCTGGATACTCCCGTGGTTCTTCCGCCTCCAGTCTGCACGGCTCCCCCGTCTTCCTGTTCTCCATCTGTGGTGCCTGTCACTGCACCCTCGCCGTGTGCCCAGGCTGTGCTGGGAGCTGGGGTGGCTGTCGGGCCTCCTACTGTGCTCGACCTGGTTCCCCGTGTGGTTGAGGATGCTGCCGTCCTGCGGAGAGCGTCGGTTCGCCCGGCTTGTGTTGACCGGGTCTCTGGGTCGACATCCGACTCTGATGATGTGCGACCGGTGCCCAAGCGTTCCCGGAGATCTTCTGATTGGGCTGATGTGGGGAAATTCGACGATGGTGGGTCTTCCAGTGACGGTGGTGAGGTTCCGGGTGCGTCACATTCCTCGGTGGTGGCAGAGGTCCATGTGACTGCGGCTGCCAGTGTCGATGTTTCTTCTAGTGAGGTGCCTGTGGAGCTTGCTTCCAGTGCGTTGCCTGCATCGGATGGTTCCGGTTCTGCGTGGAGGGGTGGTTCCTCCTGCTGGTGAGCGTAGTGACCTGGTGGTGGTGTTAAAGAAGACTGCTCACTCTGGGGGTTCCGTGCCCCCAGTTTCGTCCCCTGGTTCATCGGAGGCGGTTTTGCCGCTTCTCCTGTCTCCGGCTGTTTCTACTGCATCTCCAGCGGTGTCTGGTGTGGGGTTGCTATCTCGGCGACCTTCGTCGTCGTCTCCTGTGCGTCCGGCGGCGGGACCGTCTCGGAGGCCTGCATCTGCTTCTTCCGTGTCTTCTGCCTCCCTTCGCTCTGCCTTACCTCGTTATGCGACTTCTGCTGCCCAGCTCCGGGTGCTGCCATTTCCACCTGATCTGGTGGTTCCCGAGTTTATGCACACCCCCCTGAAGCGGGGTGATCGTTGTCCTACCGACAGGGAGTACTTAGTGTGGGAAGCTTATAAGCAGAAATATCCTTTGCATGATTTTCCTGAGAAATATTTGCCTCCCACTGATGAGTTTCCTCCTTTCCTTTTTAAGTGATTTTTTTGTGTGAGTTTGTGTGCTATGTGTTGTGGTGTTCTGTCCGTTTGTGTGCGTGGGGTGCGGTTGCATGCGTGCGTGTGTGTGGGAGTATTTTATTTAATTTATTGTAGTTATGTATTTGTACCTCTCCGTGTGGTTTTCATGGCCAGTTGGCTTGTTTTGTGTTGTTTCACGGATTGGGTTGTTGGGTGCAGGTTTGGGTATTTTGTCATTGTACTGCTGTACTTATTGTTTTTGTTGTCGGCCCTTCAGGCCGATCTTTTGTATTTTTAGTAATTTATAACTTTGTGCCTTTGTACTTTATACCTGTGCCTTTGTAATTTCTACCTTTGTGCCTTTGTCCTTTATAACTTTGTGCTTTTGTGTTTATTGTAATCTGTTGCCTTACGCATGCTTGCCTGTAAGCTTAAAATTGTACGACATGTCTTGCACTGTTCTTTTCCTACTATCTTGCATTGTGTTTGGTTTTTGTTGTCGGCCCTTCAGGCCGGTATTTTCTGTGTTTTTGTGATTTTGTACTTTGTGTAGTTTTCTTGTGTTTATTTCCATTACCCTCCTGTGTTGTATTGTTGTTTATTTTTACTGTGTTCCATTGTGTTTCTGCTCATTGTTGTGTTTTTGTTGTCGGCCCTTCAGGACGGTATTTAGTGTATTTGTCTTATTTTGTTTTGTGTTTTTGTATTTGTGTTCTGTTTGTCTGTTCTTGTTTTATTGTATTTATTCGCATGTACGCATGTAAAAAAAAAAAAAAAAATGGGGGTGAGGACGGGAGCGCACACCCGACCCTCTGCCGACAGACCAGTGAATCTCAATTGGGAGTTAGTCGACTGTTGTGGGTTGCATTGTGGCGAATGGTCAGTCATTTGCAAGGGAAACCTCGATAAGTCTAACAGCCAGCTTCCTGTCCCCGAGAATTAGAAATCATATTAAAATTCATGTATAATTCCCATTAAACCAGATGGTATGTAACACTCCGCATAAGTCACTCTTACGTTGTATTATCATGTATGGCAAGAATGGAAAATAAGTGGTATTACTGTTTTTGACGTTATAATGCGTGATAATAAGATAACAGACATAATGAGAATGTATGACTAAGGCGAGTCACCTAACAGAGGTGTCAGACAGCAGCAGCGAGAGCAGCGGTAGGTCCAGTCCCATACCTCTGTACGAGGCTAGAGTCCTCTACCAGTTTTCTGCCCGGGTGAGTTATCATCATAGTGATACTAAATTAGACAGTAACATATGCCTGCTTGATACTAAGTTTGAATAACTGCATCATGTGAATCGAAGTGACATAAGACAGCAAATTTAAATAAATTTCACACATGGAATTATTAAATATATTGAATAGCGGAAGTAATGACAATGTTTTTTATTCCAGAATGATTGTAAGTGATGCTTGTTTCTGTGCTAACCTTTCCAAGTTCAGATAGATTAATTGTGTGACAAAAAACTTACATTTATATTCATATATATTTTGTGACTGGCTGTTGGAGCCTATAGGATGACGGTCGCTTGTCATGACAGCACATATGTGTTAAATTAATAAAGTACATTAATATGATAATTGACATTTTATTGCTGTCCTATAGCAGTGATCTATCGTAGTTACATGACCTGGCTGTTGACGGTCTGAAACCCAATACATTAGGCTATTCAATGGATCTGGTGTTTTTGAGTCCCTATATAACTTTGTTGATGACCTGACTCTAGTGCATGCGTCCATAACTTGAACCGACTCTCCAGTAAGTCTCACTAACTTGATTGTTCCTAAGTTGTTTTCTTAGTACAGGCACGTAATTCTTAATTATCTAACTTTACCAGTATAACAAGTTGTATAACCCGATTGTTGAGTTAGTCCATGGAGACCCCCTTCTATTTTACCTGACTGTTGGTGAACTGACTGCATTTCAGCATATTATAGCCTGATTGTTGATTTCTCCCGCTTAAGTATAGGCTCAATAACTGGACTTGCATGATACAGTGGAGAATAGTGCCTGCCAGGCAAGCACTGTTACTATATATATAATCCGTATGTTTTATTCTATAACATGTTTAAAACTACATTAGTAAACTGTAATAAAATAATTACAACTACATTATGCATTACTTTATTTTCTTGCTGCATTAAAGGTATTCTTTGTACGATTATCAAATAGGAAAACTTGTTTGGGTGTATTTACAGAGTGAGAGTGAAGTGTCACTCGCAGAGGGTGAGTACATCGTAGTCACTGATGTGTCTAATGCAGAATGGAGTTTGGTGAGAACCAATAATGGTATCTTGGGTTTTGTCCCGTCAAAGTTCATCACTGCTGCCCCCTCTTGCACGCAGAGACCTTCGTAATACTGGTAGTGTGTACCATACGCCACTGCTTGTTTATTAATGACATTGTTCTAGTAAATTTGCAAGTTTTCTTACCTGAGTTGTATAACATGATCGATGTGCTTGTGTGTTCCTATACTCACCTGTCCATGTTTGCTGGGTGCAAGATCCAGCTCCTGGGTCCCTCTTAACCGTCAATCAACTGAGGTAATGCCTCGTTTTTGCCATTTTGAATTGAAACTGTGTTTGTAGTTGCTTTTACCCCGAATTGTGTGTTCCATTGGTAAGCTATGACTCAAGTGAAGGGTATAATTTTTATTTATATGTTCACTTATTATTTCTCAACCCTGCCATAAGCACTGTTTTGGCCTTGTCAGTAACCTTAAATGTGTGTATGTTAATCACAAATAATTATATAACGGATAATTATGATAATAGGTAACTAAGAAGGAAAAATGTATTAGGTTGCTTGAGTCCTTCCGTGTATATACAGAGCTATGTATCTTCCGAAAAAGTAGAGATAAAAAGAAAGCACTTCAACGGTGTTCTTTCAGTTTTTTAATAGCTTTGCGATTTATTGTCATATTTTGGTCATGAATAGTTCCTAAGTCATATGTCATTTCACCCTTGCAGCCCTGCTGGAGACTCGAAGCTTCAATGCCTGAGAGCCAACCCAGACGCCATCTGCTCGACTTGCCTTGTGATTCCCCCACAAGTGATCTAAGATCTTTCTCAACCACCATACAAACACCAAACGTGAATTTTCGGGCCACAGTATAAATAATTCGTCGATATATGGGTACATGCACAGCGATTTTAACTAGAGTAAGCATAAATGGCAGCCTATCATACATAGCATTCAGCAACAGGCTGTTCATTTCATTTAAGACAAACAATCATTTTATTTTATTTGTTAGCCATTTATAGTTACCATTGAAATTGAAATTTAAATAGTTACCATCGAATGGTTATTCTCAATCGATACAATTCAAGACAATTTGGAATGACTCTTTATATATTAGTACCTGTTAATGTTATGTGAAGATGATTTTGTTGATAATACATAATAAAATATAAAATATTTGAGGATGGACTAGAAAGAAGGATGCATCAGCAAATAGGTGGACTTTTAAGTTCAATTTACAGACTGCAGATTTTTTTTAATAAAATTAAGTAAGAAAGGTACCACCTTATACAATACAGAAGTATGTTTAATTAGTGTAATTCTTTACCTTATGTTCCTTAGTCATTATTAAACTGCATCACCTGTCTTATCTCTCTATTGATGAAAAATTTAAGGTAACTTTAAAAAACAATTGTTTAGCTAGAACGTAGTTGTTAAATGGACCATTGCTTTCTGAGTGAAGATTATTATCTTATTGTGCATCTAATCAATATGGATATAATTGTTAATAGTTAAGGTATACTCAAAACGGGATCCAATATGTGGCCTATGTATTTGTGAATTTAATAAAGGCTTTATATATTTATTGTGAGTGCAACATAAAATACGACAGAGTAGATTCATAAATGAATTCAAAATCAATCAGTGAATGACTTATAATAGATGTATATGTTCTTGTCTATAAGTAATATTTAAGGTACTATAATTAGTTTTAGGAAAACTATAGAATAGTCCATAGGTCCATGGGGAGTAAGTGCCAGTAGCTCTCTCATGGATCTTGGTGCCAGGTTCATCAAAACAATAATTAATTAAAGAATTCCTAGATAAGTCGATTTCCTTTCTAGCGCCTTAGTGTGGCGAATCCGAGGGGAAATGCTCTCTGTATAGTCGGTGGCGTCCTAGGAGTTTGAAGAAATGTTCAGCTTATGAAACAAACTTATACTTTTTTAATGTTCCAATTCTTTAACCAATTGAATTGTAACTATGTAAATTTGCGAAATAAATTACATATTAAAAAGCCCATTAATTGCACATAATTGGAGTTTTAAATTCCGTTTTTATATATGGCAAATATACAAATAGCTGAAAACGGACATTTGTCATATTTTACCCAAATTGACCTGCAGTTTGAAAAATACGATACCTATTGGAAATATAATTCTTGACCGTTATTTTACATATTTGGAGTTTTCAAATACGTCTTTTTATACGGACAACATGCAAAACAGTGAATACGGAAATTTGTCATATAATGCCTATTGGAAATATAACTCTTGAGAGTTATTTTTTTAGCGTAATTCAAGGTGATTACACAAATTTGGAATTTTAAATTACGTTTTTTGAACGGTATATATTCAAATAAGTTTGTTTTGTTCAGTTCAATTATTATGCACCCCATACCCATCACGTGGGTGGTAGTGGAAAGGGTTTCAGAGCACATAATGGGCTCAGGAACTGAACCCCACAATTCATTAGCTAACTAAGTTACAATCTTGATGAGCTAGTTACAAAATTCAATGTACATAGTACCAACCTCTCCCACTCTACCAATAACTGTCGGAGTGCCACAGGGCAGCATCTTGGGACCTCTCCACAGGGCAGCATCTTGGGACCTCTCCACAGGGCAGCATCTTGGGACCTCTCCTATTTCTTATATACATCAATGATCTGCCTAATGTCTCTAACATTCTGAAACCTATATTGTTTGCTGATGATACTACCCTCATCTACTCTAACCCCAACCCACATACACTAAATAATGTTGTTAATAATGAACTAAAAATAGTCCACTTATGGATGTCAACCAACAAACTAACACTTAACATAGTAAAGACCTACTACATCCTATTTGGAAGCAAATCTACAAATGCAATTCAGCTTCAGATAGACAATGTAAACATTAGCAATAAAAATGATGGAAAGTTTCTTGGCCTATTCCTAGACAAGAGACAACTTCAGCACCCACATACATCACATAACTAGGAAAGTCTCTAAAACAGTTGATATACTCTCCAAAATCAGATATTATGTACCTAACTCTACTCTCATCTCTCTATATTATGCACTAATCTATCCCTATCTTAATTATGGTACCTGTGCATGGGGTTCAACCACTGCAAACCACCTCAAGTCCATCATCACCCAGCAAAAATCTGCTATCAGAATTGACGCACGTTTCCGCCACAACATATACTCCAGTCCATTCTCGACCTATCATGTCTCCCAGGAAAAAGACTGTGCAGGTAAATAAGAGTAACAAAGCCCCTAACAAGGCATCCATCACGACAAATAATGACGGTCATCGTGTTTCTCCCTCTGGAAGCTCTGGGGCCTGTGGCGGCGGTGCTGCCCTCCCCTCCACCCCGTTAAGCCAGGGAGTGGTGTCCTCTCAATCCTCTCCTATTACCACTCTTGAATCCCATTTTACGGAATTCAAGCGTGCTACTGGTCCCTCACCGGATTTCCCTAGCTGGGCCGATAATCAGTGGGCCAAAAAGTTGTGCTCAGTCCTTGAGGCTCAAAATACGATCATCTTGAGTCTTCAAACTGAAAATCAAGCAAACTGTGCGAACCTCCATCAAGAACAACAAGAAATAACCCTCCTCCGCGAGGATATTAGAAACTTGAGGGCTAGCCAAGATCAACTCCAGCATGACTTGAATGATCTCCGTGAGGAAAACATTCGTCTGAAATCCGATGAAGCCATAAAAAAACAAAAGGAAGCGAAGCTCTCAGCAAAATGACTGCTTGTATCAGTACATTATCCGCCCAACGTTCCGTCACCCAGGATGAACAAGATCAGCAAAAACTGCTTGACTCGATCTGTAGTTGTGTCGTCCCAAGATATTCCTGTGGAAAGCGAAGGTGAAAAGTGTATTGAAATAGTTCAGGATCTCTTAAAAAAGAATTGCAGTTCACTCTAAACAAAACAGACATTATTGCTGCCTACAGAGTAGGCAAAAAGAATCCATCAGGACAAAACCAGCGGAAAATTCGTCTGAAACTGACTTCCCAGTCCATGAAATCGCATTTTGTCCGGAAGGCTGCATCCCAACTACAGGTAATCTACATCAACGAGTGCTTGACTAGAAAAAGACAGTGTAACGGTTCTATTGTTACGTAAAGTATGGTGACAAATAAACACAGACACTAAGATACTATATATATATTTGGTCAAATATACAGAAGTACACAGGTGATACTTTGGTGTGAGTTGAGCGCACTGAGCGTCGGTACAGTATCTCGCAAGTGTCTGCTCTAGACCACACTTGAAAGTAGACTAGCCACTGTTCGCTACTCCGCTGCTTATATGCTCGGGCAACACCTCACCTCATTCATCTCCAAAGGTTGACAGGAATATTAACAATGCATTTGGAGCGAGTATATTATTGGGATAATCTACTCGCTACAGAACTCCCCCTCCCAGGGGGATGAAAGGAAAAATACTTGATCAAGGAACTTAGCTGGTCGGTGAATTGTACGCCCTGCTCGCGTTACATAACCATCAAAGTTAACTTCCTCCTATTCGCTGATGTCATCTAACTGGGGTCGTAGGGTGGGAGGTCGCACAGGATCGTCCGTCGTCGTAGGATCAGGTTGTGGTGCGGCTGGTAACTGGTGTTGTAGGGTGGGAGGTCGTACAGGATCGTCCGTTGTCGTAGGTGGCGGTGCTGCTGGTAACTGTGGTCGAAAAGTGAACTGCGTAGTCGGCGGATGTGTCTCTGGATTTAGCAGTGTCGCAGACGTTGAGACGAAGCCTGGAGCAGAGCAGAGAGCTGAGTGAGGCCAGAGTCGTGGAGCTCTATGTGGGAGAGCGTGGCGGCTCGATTGAGAATTGTGAGTGTCTGAACTCGGGGAGCAAGAGCGTGGCGGCTCGATGCGGTCGTAGTCTGCTGTCTGCTCTGTGTCGAAGCTGTAGCGTCTTGGGTTGATTAGGACTGTACACGCCGAGTACTACATTGTTGACTGTGGAAATTGTAGTCTGGTACCAAAAGATGTAGGCAGTGTGTGGACAAGCTCGGTGTAGCAGGAGAGAAGAATGTGCATAATTGTTGCGTCCTTGGGTCGCTGGTAGAGCATTTAGATCGGGGCGGATGGGCTCGGGCACCAGGACATTAGGAGGTAATGTAGGCACGTAGTTAGGACAACGAGGTAATCACATCTAGAGCTGAATTGTCCTGAAGGCGACGAAGTGTCGGAAACGCAAGCTGTAAGTCCTGTACTGCGCAAAGGGCTTGAGTCGGCCGAATATCAAAATGCAGTGAACGTGTAGATGAATCTGATGACAGAGCAGCTGTCGTGGGCGTAGGACAAGTAGTGCCCTGGCAGCGACGGAGAGTCGGCAGGACATGCTGTAGATCCAACATGATGTAATCATTGATGAGGCTGTCAGATGAGTGAGTAACGATCGTGGAGCAGCAAGCCGTAGTAGATGAAAATGCAGAGATGGACGCGATGATTATCATAGCTGTGGCGAGGGTGTTGGCAGTGTTCCATCACAGCAAACAGTAGCAGTAGAGGTCCATGTTGTAGTCCATCGTCGAAACTCTCTGGGGTCACCAATGTAACGGTTCTATTGTTACGCAAAGTATGGTGACAAATAAACACAGACACTAAGATACTATATATATATTTGGTCGAATATACAGAAGTACACAGGTGATACTTTGGTGTGAGTTGAGCGCACTGAGCGTCGGTACAGTATCTCGCAAGTGTCTGCTCTAGACCACACTTGAAAGTAGACTAGCCACTGTTCGCTACTCCGCTGCTTATATGCTCGGGCAACACCTCACCTCATTCATCTCCAAAGGTTGACAGGAATATTAACAATGCATTTGGAGCGAGTATATTATTCGGATAATCTACTCGCTACAAAGATAAAAACGAAGCTATACCTAATAAATTCCCTGTAACCTACCTTACCCTTCTATTGTCAACCAATGTCTGTTTTTTTAAAGAGCGCTGTTTGTCGACATAATTGTATTTGTGCTGCTTTTCAGCTATGTTTTCATTTTTTGTTTTCATTCTACTCATTATGCTCAATTAGTATTAAGCTTGTCATTTAAGTTTATCATGCCCGAAACGCTTTGCGTAATAGTGGCTTTAGGCATTGTATGTACTAGCTCTACCTATAAGTCAACCAATCTTTGTAAAAATTTATTGTATGTATGTACCTTACCTAAATAAACATTTTATTTTTTTTTTTATTTTTTTTTAAATGATCTGCTACCAGAAATTTTAGCCAAATATCCCCAGTTTGCTAACTGTAGGTAGTAACTGAGTGATTGTAACCTATCCACCGCTGCCCACTGGATGGGGGGCGGTGTGCAGGACAAACATATCAATTTTGACACTAGCTCTCCACATATGTCAGTTGCTTAATTTAGAACCTGTACTTGAGGTCGATCTCGAACCCATTGTTGATGTGACGACTTATTTTGAATTTTGTAACTAGCTCATCAAGACTGTAACTTGCTTAGCTAAATGAATTGTGGGGTTCAGTCCCTGAGCCCATTATGTGCCTCTGTAACCCATTCCACTACCGCCCACAAGATGGGTATGGGGTGCATAATAAATGAACTAAACTAACTAAACTGTGAGATGGGAATATTAGATGAACTTATAGCTAGTTTTTTATGTATACTGTGTAATCATTCAGATTGAATAGGGTAGCAGCACTTTGCTGTGTATACCTAAGCTTGTTAATAAACATTGATTGTTAAACAATTTGGCGGGTCGTATTCCGGGAAAAATTAAGATTAAGGACCTGCCTGAAACACTATGCATGCTAGTGGCTTTATAAAAATGTAAGAACTATTCTATATATAAATAAAAGTAACAAAAATAAAATAGACAAATGAAAATAAATTAGGCATATAGTCAATGTAGCAGTACTCTAACCGCCCAACAAATTGTCTCCCAGGATGAACTAGACCAACACAAGTTACTCGACTCTGTTATTGTCGTCCTCAGCCGTCTCCGTGGAAGAAGGTGAGAACTGTGTTGATATTATACATGCAATGCTCTAAGACCAACTGAATTACGAAATCAGCAAAGCCAACATAACTGCTGCGTATAGAGTAGGCAAAATTAATTAAGATGGTCAAAATCAAAGTCAAATTGGCCTCAAACTAGCAGGCCGCTCCATAAAATCCGATCTTGTGCAGGTTTAGACAATAGGATGTGATCCAGGGTAGCAGTATCCTCTAACAAGGGGCTGTACATTAATGAGTGACTGACTAGGGTAAGACAGGAACACCTCGACCGTCTGCGTCAAATCCATAAGAAAAAACAAAAAATGATCCATCAATGTTATGTTAAAGATGGCATCAAACAACGGGAAAAACTTTTGTCATATCAAATGAGGATAACCTCAATAAATTCCTCTCCCAATATGGTCTGTCTGAACAAACTGACCCAATCTGTTCCTCATGGTAATTAACCCCTTGTTGCCTTGCCTCCTCCCTTGCTCCATTCTACTCTGGCTATGCCAGTTCCTGTATTATAAACTTTTGTTATCATTGTATCAGTTTACCTCATAAGGTAAACTACCTCAGTTATCTAGTGGTATTATAGTATTTTTTACTATTTATTTTATAAGCATCGTTTCCATTATATTGTTAACAGACTTTTTACTGTGTGTCATTGTCTCCGTAACCCTTAAGTTTCAGTCACATGATACTGCTGCTGTCTTTAGAGTACAGTACTGTATATCTGTTATAATTAGCTATTAATCTTTTTAGTGTATTCATCTCAATTACTCAGCTGTCTGTCCATATGGTATTTTTTTGTTCAACTGTTTTTATTAAAATTTATTACTAGTGTATTACAGTCGTACTTTAAGAAATTACTGGTTTCGTAATTCTTAATTATCTGTTGTTAAATTATCCCAGTTGTTAAATTGTCCTGAATTTTATTTCATTTAGTCTTACTCTAATTTTAAGTCATTAAATTTTCACTTTGTTATTCTCTATTAATTTTGTCAATCTAAATTGAATTCATGATTATATTGAATATTTGATTTTGTCCATTTATATTGAATCCTTAATCTTACTTTTTACTTATTGAATATTGTAAATTTTTATTGAATTCTTATTTGTCATATGTATAGTACAGTATACAGTTAATTACATTGAATCTTAGTTCATTTATACTTGTTCCTATTATACAGTACTGTATATTACAAAAATGAGTTTTCGATTGGACTCATTGACCTGAGAAAGACCTTTGATACTGTTAATCACAAATACCTCTTACGTAAACTCCATCATTATGGAATCCGAGGCCATGCCCTGGACTATATACAATCCTATCTTAGTGATAGACACCAATTTGTAGCCATCAATGATATAACCTCTCCCACTCTACCAATAACCTTTGGAGTGCCACAGGGCAGCATCTTGGGACCTCTCCTATTTCTTATATACATCAATGATCTGCCTAATGTCTCTAACATTCTTTAACCTATATTGTTTGCTAATGATACTACCCCATTTACTCAAACCCCAACCCACACACACTAAATAATGTTTTTAATAATGAACTAAAAAAAGCCCCTGCCTCTTTCAGCAGATTGGACCAGTTCTTTACATGGCTGGTTCAATCTTCTTCTCAAGTCTTTGAGTCTGGTTTTTCTGATGCTGGTCTATCACCACTTGTATGGTGAGCAGGTGGCTTCGTTGTTGGTTTCCCACCTACGTGCTTCATCTCGGCAGCAGTATGAAGTTTCCCGGCAGTCTTTCCATTATTTCTTATCCCTTTGTAGGTTTACGTCTGTCTCTGATAGGGTTGTCTTGTCCTTTCTTTTGTGGTTGTTCCAGGACCGTCATCTTATGCTGAATACTGTTGCTTCATATTGTGTGGTGTTGGCGGAGCCGCTGTAGCTTGCGTTCGGCATTGATGTTATATACTTCTGCGCTGTTCCACAAGCTATCTCATGAGTTGTTTCCCCTCTGGCCTGCTCATGCACCGCCTGAGCCATTCTGGTCATTGGACCAGGTGCTCTCCTTTTTCTCTCACCACCTCAGGTTTGTGGTGGCCCCTTCGGTTCAGGATTGTTCGGCGAAGGCTCTTTTTCTTGTTGGCATTGGCTTCTGGGAGTTGCGTCGGGGAGCTTCATTCTCTCCTCTAGCACAGGGGTTTCTGCTCTTTTGGGTCTGATGGTAGGCTTTTGTTTGTTTGCAGCCATCTCCTCCTTTTCTGGCGAAGAATGAGACTGCTGCTTTCCGGAGGGGTCCTTGGGTTGTTGATGCTTGGTTGGTTAGGCCAGGGGTGCATCATGTGTTGTGTCCAGTTGTGGCTCTCTGCCAATACTTGGGCTCCACAGCCACGGCAGTTGGGGATGCGCTTTGGGTTGACACAGTTTCCCTTTTTCCCTGTTACAAGGTTTGGGTCTCCCAGGTTGTCAGCAGGGTTATTCGTTCCAGCCAGCCTGCAGTCTATCCTCACGATGTTCATAAGTTTGGTATGCTGGCTGCCGTCTTCTGTAACATGTCTTGAGCTGACATTCAGGCACGGGGTTTTTGGAGGTCAAACAGGGTCCTAGTTACTTGCTAACTTCTCAACATTCCTGGGCCTAGTCGAGCCTGTGTCGCATTGGGTCGGCGGTTGCAGCCAGTTGTCTTGACTTCTCGTTGAGGAGCGAAGGCCGACCGCCTCTCGGGTAAGTCTTTCTTGTTTCTGTCTATGGGTAAGTAGCTCCGGGGAGCTGAAGGTGCTCTCCCCCAGAAAACCAGTGTTGAATGTAATGAAATGCCATTTTCTGGGCGAGACCCCAGAGACCTCTCTCCCTCCAGTCAACATTTTTTTTGCATGTTTTGACAGAACTACAGCCTCAGAACTGTAGGATAGATTGCCGGTGTGGGGGCCTGGGGTTACCCTTCCCCCTCTCGGTGAGGAGGGGAGGTTGAGCAGACAGTGGCAGGGTGACGTGATGACGTCATGCTCGTTTGCTCTTTTCATTTGGGGAGTTCTGTCCACTACTTCGGCTTTCAGTAGCAATATTTTAACCAAAATAGGGGTTTGTTTTGGGGCGCTTACCTTTCAGGGTACCTGACTCGGTCAATGGCAGACATATAATGCTTCTAACCACATGAGGGTTTCTATAGGCCATTGTTTCACGTGCATCTCTGAGGGGGCTAGGTTCTGGCTTGTGGTCCCCAGTAGGCCTAGAACTCCATGCACATTGATGCCAGGGTCTAATACATTCATATCAGCCTGGATAGCTCTGGGGAGGTTCCAGGACTCGCCCAGAAAATGGCATTTCATTACATACAATGTTAGTTTTTTGTCTTATTTTTTGGTTGATCTCTGATAGTAAAGCTCCCCTCACCTCATGAAGAGCCGGATTTTGGCCTAGGCTACTGGTTACCTTACCTTGAGGTGCTTCCGGGGCTTAGCATCCCCGCGGCCCGGTCGTCGACCAGGCATCCTGGTTGCTGGACTGATCAACCAGGCGAAAGTAGTTTTGGTAGGCAAAAGTGAGTCTCAGAAGCCTGGTACAATTTTCTAAGGTTTTACAGTGCCCTTGTTTAGGTAGGGGGAGGCTATTAAAGGCTCACCATAAAAGGTTAATGCTTGATTTTTTATATGAAACAAAATTTAAGAGTAAAATTTATAATGGAGAGCAAAATACCAATTAATTAAATTTGAAATGTTTATTCAGGTAAAGTACATACATACAGGATGTGATACAAATATTGATGAATTTATAGATAGAGCTGGTACATACAATGCCTAAAGCCACTATTACGCAAAGCGTTTCGGGCAGGAAAACACTAAAGACTAAAACTTAATACTAATTGAGATTAAAGTATAAAATGTGTTGAGAAATTCTATTATTCCTATTCTGTGTTAAGGAATTCTATTAATATATCTGCAGATGCTTGCTACCTGAAATGATATTGGGCGTTCACCAGTTGCTAATGAGCCACAGTGCAGTGTTCATTCTTCTGTGCAGCACTATTCACAATATGGCTTGTCACCCACCACTTACTACCTCTTCATCCATGTCATCTGAGGTATGGAACTTGTTTGGAAAGCCTGGAGATGGATATTATACAGAACTGGAAATTGGTACACCTCCACAGAAGGTTTGTTATAACGGTTTCCATTTATTTTCTTACCAGGCAATTATTTGTTACCGTTTGTAGTACAGTTAGCTATGGTCTCTACTCATGTTTGGGGATCCTGAATTCAATTTTCAGGGGGGAGAGAAATAGTTGGGCATGTTTCCTTTCACTTAATGCCTCTATTTACTAGCAGTAAATAGGTACCAGGGAGTTTGGCAACTGTTGTGAGGCTGCATCCTGGGGAGGGTCAGTAATTCGACCTTTGGGGGGGGGTCTTTGTACAGGCCTAAAGTATATACAGTGCATTCTCACTCTAATTAATCTCGTTCTAACGAATTCCTGGGTGGTCCAAACAAATTGCATTTGATACTGAATGTTCAGTGGAACATACAAATGTTCGATTAAGTGAGGATTGTTCGTTCCAGCAGTTACCGAAACCAATCATTGGAGGTGGCTGTCATCTACTATGAGCAAACTTGGCATCTGACAGCTTCACTTACTTCACAGATGGATACTCTGTAGGTCTACTTCTCAGTAGACCTACAGAGACAAGAAACCGCAGCTGCAGTTAAAGCAGGAAACTCTGTAAATAGTTGGAGACTCTCAAATAGGTGTTCGACTTTACAGAGATGCTAGCCATTCAAAAAGCTTTGGAACATGCTCTTGCTGAACACCGACAATATGTTATCATACATACAGATTCGAGAACTGCCATTGAAACCTTGCAACAAGAACACATATGTGATAACATCCATCTGATCACAAATGTCATATCATTAATGCAAACACTCAACGACAAGGCCGACGGGTACTTATCAACTGGGTGCCAAGTCATGTGGGAATAATAGGAAATGACATTGCAGACGAAGCTGCAAAACTTGCAACTAAGAGAAGAAATGTAGACATTTACACACCACAGAGTCTATCACAGATTAAGAAAGTAATTAGAAACAGAGCAATGCAAAAGATGTACAGTGACCACAACACAGCAGTTGCAATATCAGGATCTGCGGGTTGGTACAAGAATTCAACCAACTACGAACCACTTAGTTTGATGAAAGGGAGCAGTAGAACAACAGAAGTACACTTACAGTACATCGCATCAGGTTTGGATACCCATGTGCATGGGAAATAGACTTACAGGTTCCAGAAGATGAGTGGAATTGTCAGCACTGTGGAGAAATGCCCGACAGACCACTAAAACATTATCTAACATAGTGCAGAGTTACAAACCCATTAAGATTTCAACTTCGATTCAACAGAGAGGAAGAAGTTGTTAAACATGTGGGACAAAATCTTACTGAAGCGACCATACGAGTCATAAATTCTCATACTCCGGCCAAGTAAAACAGAAACAAGCAACACTTAGTGGGCCAGCCAGAGGCTTAGGGCCCCGCGCAGGAATATCCCTGCAAAAAAAAAAAAAAAAAAAATCTACTATGATTCACCAAAGTGTAAACAGTTGTACAGTGTTTTATTTTGCTTACGCATTGTTTCTAGGGAGAAGTGGTTGAAGGATGATAAAATGGTGTCGGGGAGGCAGGTGGTGTCATTGGTGAGGGTTGGAGTCAGAGGGGAAGTGGTGTCAGTAGTTGGAGTTTAGTGTCAGGGGGGCAGGTGGTGGAAGTTGTTAAGGGAGGCAGGTGATACCTGCTTGATGGGGTTCTGGGAGTTCTTCTACTCCCCAAGCCTGGCCCGAGGCCAGGCTCGACTTGTGAGAGGGTGGTGTCAGTGGTAATGTTGTCAAGGGTAGCAGGTGGTTTCAGTGGTGGAAGTTATTATCAGGGGATGCAGGTGGTGTCAGTGGTGGAAGTAGTTGTCAGGGGGAGGCAGGTGGTGTCAGTGGTTGAAGTTATGGGAGGCAGATGGTGTCAGTAGTGGAAGTTGTCAGGGGAGGCAGGTGATGTCAGTGGTGGAAGTTGTCAGGAGTGGCAGGTGGTGTCAGTGGTGGAAGCTGTCAGGAGAGGCAGGTAGTGTTAATGGTGTCAGGGAAAGTAGGTGGTGTCAATGGTAGAAGTTGTCAAGGGAGGCAGATGGTGTCTGTGGTGGAAGCTGTCAGGGTAGGCAGGTGGTGTTAGTAGTGAATGTCACTGAAGGCAGGTAGTATCAGGGAAGTCAGGTGGTGTCAGTGGAGGAAGTTGTCAGGAGGCATGTGGTGTCAGTTGTCAGGGTAGGCAGTTAGTGATAGTGGTGTCAGGGAAGGCATGTGATGTCAATGGTGAAGTTGTCAGGCGAGGCAGGTTGCATTAGTGGTGAGTGTCAGGGAAGGAGGGTGGTGTCAGTGGGCTAGGTTGAACTGAAAGCACTTTAACATGATGTACCAAAAAAAATCAGGAGCAATATGGAGGATTTGAATCTATGTGCTGGGTACTCCCAGGTACACTCTAGACTAGCGGTCGCCAACCGGTGGTCTACAAGGACATTTTGGTGGTCCGTAGAAAAATCTGGACATTATTGGCATTTTTTATCTTTTATTAATAAAAAACTTAGTGTTGGATGTTGTGAAACACCATTTTCTGGGCAAGCCCCGGAGGCTCCCTGGAGCTAGCGGGTTAATGTGTGATTTATTAGCTGGGGCATTAGTCTATGGTGTTCATCCTACCAGGGAACAATGGCCCTGGAAAACTTCCCTGTGGTTGGGGGTTTTCCTTATCTGCCATTGACGGGTCAGACACCCAGAAAGGTAGGCATAGCAAAAAAAACCTTACCTGATAAGAAAATAACAACTAAAACCCGAAAAAAGAGGTAGAACTCCCTCCAATCCTAAGGAAACAAGCAAAAGTCACACTCCACTGCCGTGCCGCTCATTCGCGCAGCCCTCTCCTCCCCACGCCAGTTACCCAGCATTCCAGTTCGGAAGCTAAGCATCAAAAAACGAGTAAAACCGCCAACTGGAGGGAGGGAGGGTTGCCAGGGAGTTGCTGGGGCTTGCCCAGAAAAATGCCGTTTCATTACGTTCAATGCTGGTTTTCTGTGGGGAGCCATAGGAGCTACATAACCAAAGATAAGAAAAAGAGGGACTTACCTGAGAGATGGCCGCAACAAACTCCTCAACGCGAAGTCGAGACAACTGGTTGCAACCTGCGACACAAATCAACAAAGGAACGTTAACCAAATAACGGACGGCCAAGACCCTGTTCGACCTTCAAAATCCCTGTGCCCGAATATCAGCCCAAGACATGTTGCCAAACATGGCAGCCAATGCTGCAAATTTCCAAAGTTATGGGCACGAGGATAGACCCCAGGCTGGCTAGATTTAATAACCCTGCAGACGACCTGGGAGACCTTAGCCCTGGAACTGGGAACGAGGGAAACGGGATCAACCCAAAGCGTGCATCCCCAGCCACCAAAGCCAAAGCACGCAGATAATGGTGGAGGGTTGCAACCGGACACAACACATGATGTACCCCTAGCCTGACCAACCAAGCATCAATGACCCGAGGACCCTTTCAGAAAGCAGCCGTCTCGTTCTTCGCCAGAAAAGGAGAAGGCTGCAACCGTACAAACCTCCTGCCAGGGCCGAAACAGCAGAAACCCCTGCACCAGAGGAGAGCATGCTGCTCCCTGACCCGACTCCCAGGGGCTAATGTCAACAGAAAGAAAGCCTTGGAAAAACAATCTTGAACTGAAGGGGCCACCACAAACTGAGGAGAGGAAAGATAGGAGAGCACCCTGTCCAAGGACCAGGACGGCTCATGTGGTGCATGAGCAGGCCGGAGGGGAAACGAAACACGAGAAAGCGTATGGAATGGGGCAGAAGAGACATCCATCTTGAATGCAAGCTAGAGTGGCTCTGACAGTGCCGCATAATTCTGGGCGACAGCATTAGGCATCAAATGGCGGTCCTGAAAAAGCCAAGACAGAAATGACAAGACAACTCGATCTGAAATAGAAGACAACTTATGAAGAGAGAGAAAATGGCGGAAAGAACACCAGGAAACTTTATACTGTCGCTGAGATAGAGCTTTCAGGTGGGATACCATCATTGATGCCACCTGATCACCATACAAATGGTGATAAACCTGCGTCAAAAAGACCAGACGCGAAGAGCATAGGAGAAGACCGATCCAGCCATGTATTGGACTGGTCTGACCCGCTGGAAGAAGCAGAGCCACAGAAAGCATCCCGGGTTCACACGCCGAGCATGCAGCACCTGAAACCAAGGCTGGGCCGGCCCCCAAGGGGCCACGAGGACTATTCCTCCATGGTAGGACTCCATCTGAGCCAGAACCCAAAGCAACAGCTAAACCGGAGGAAAGAGGTACAGGTAACCCCACCTTGACCAGACCTGCCGAAGGGCATCCATTGCGAGAGCCTCGCAGTCATGGAAGGGCACTACATAGATCTGTCCTGGTGAGCACGGGTCACAAAGCCCCAGCCGAGAGACGAAGTGTTTGTGAACACATCGAGCGAGGGTTCGGGTAGGTGCAGAGGCACTGAACCCCCCAAATCACAAAGAGGATGCTGGCACTGCAGCAACTGATGCAAGGCCCCTGGAGGACGAACCCAGCTATTGCGAGAGAAGCAGAAGGGGCATCCTAGAAGGAACCAGAACAGACGCCAAAGCCAAACCCAACCCAGTGGGTAGACCAGCACGGTGAATTTCAAACTCCCTCACAATTGCTCGGGTAACCACCGAGTGACCAGGGTCCCCCCAGACCGCAGCTGCAGCAATGCCTCTGGAGGGAGTGACATGGAAGTGGTCCGAGTGTCCCAAACAAGACCCAGACAGGTCTGAACCCGGAACGGAACCAGATAGGATTTCATCTAGTTCACCAGGAACCCGAACCGGGCGAACTGGGAAAGAACCACATCCCTGGCGAGCAGACAAGCAAACCGACTGGGAGCCCACACCAGCCAGTCGCCAGCCAGCCAAACCCCTAGCAGATACAGATGGATCACCACGACTCGGGTAAGATGCGCGAATATGCGAGATTCATGCCAAAAGGAAGGCAACAAAAGCGGTAAGCCTGATGCCCCACCACAAAACCTAACCAATCCCTGAATCCCGGATGAAAAGGAACATGCTAATACGCGTTCTTGAGGTTCAGGGACACCATCCAGGCATCTGGCTCCAACAGAAGCCAGACCTGAGATAGAGTGGTCATCTGAAATGGAGGGGCCAGGAATCCAGAGGTTCAGACGGGACAAGTCCAGAATGAACCTCAGATCTGCACAGTCCCGTTTTGGCACTTGAAACTGGCGGGAAACCCACGTTTGATCGTTTCGGCCATGCCCAAACGCACCCACTCCAGGATGACCTGACGAACCGCAGGGGAAGAAGCCTGCCTCGCATCCCTGAACCCCCCAAACGGAGGAGGAACCATCCAACGCCACCACAGGCCAGATGACACGACTGAAAACATCCACAAATCGTGGGACCAAGCACGAGCAAACAGAACGAGCTTCCCCCTTATCGCCCCGTCAACTGGGCAGACCGCGAACGGGCCGATGCCCTTTTTCGAGAAGCCAGTGATCATCACGCTGACTAGACAACGCCGACTCCAAAGGCAACGTCGGTTCAGAAACGGACACCAATGGCCCACCTTGACCAGCGGAACCTCGAGCCCTGGCACGACCCCTTCTGTGAAGGCCGAGACCATTCACCCAGGAGAACCAACAAGTCCGACATAGACAAACGACAACTGGACGAAGCCTCCTGCAGAAACTGCATGACGGCAGCCTCCGCTAACAGCAACGGACAAAACGGAGAACGCCTCCACATGCTCCTTGAGCCAGGCAGAAGATAGCTTGAGAAGCGAAAAGAAGCGCAAGACCGAAGCCAAATGCCCACAGGCTCGCAAATCCTTTGCAACCAAGGATGCCAAAAGGGAAGGAACCTGCATGAGCAGCTGCACAAGGCCAACATTCTGAGACAGCACAGGGGCGAACAAACACACATTAAGGTGCTCAAACTTGCCCCCTCCCCCAGGTGAATCTGCAAAACTGTAGACGTTTCTTGCCACTCAAGCGTCTGGGTCCGACAGAACCCATGCCATGTTCCCAACAAAAAGAAGGGGCAGTCTGCCAGCCAGGAAGACTCCGGAACCTCCAAACGCACCCAATACTGAGAAGAAGAACAGAACTCAAATGAGGACGGATCCATTACTGAGGTGGAATCCGGGTCTCGAAGGAGGTATGCAGCAATAGCCTCCCAAACCACCTCACGTGGAGATATTAGAGGCAGAAAGAGGCCCCGAAATACTGTATACTTATACAAGGAAGGGAGGGGGGGATATGAACCCCTCCCCCTGCAACAACAAGCCCCGTGAAGAGGGTACTAACACCCAATTGGGGTCAAAGGGAGCCCAAGCCCCCAGGTCGACTCCTCCCCAGCCCTGGAATCCCCCAAACTGGGTCCTGGGACAGAGCAGTCCTCTATACCCTCTACCCCTGAAGAAAAGGCAGAGTCCAGGGAAAAGGCTGAAAAGAAAGGGGCCTGCTCGTAGGACCCAGAAGCCTTTGTAGAAGGAACTGGCTCGAAGGTCTCCTTCCCAACCCGAATGGGGCAGCCCCCGAAGCTGCCCGAGTCTCATTACCAACCCAGCTCCGTCTCTGAAATCCTCACATTTGGGAACCGAAAGCGGAAATGGAGGTGCAAGACGAACAACAGGGGAAGGACCAGGGAGCACTGACTGAACGAAACGCTCCCAGGTCTGGGTCCCTATAGCCAAAGTGGGGCAGCTGCGGTGCATCCAGGTGGGAAACCAACCTAGCGCGTTGCAGCAACTTAAACCTAGCACGTTGTAGCAACTTAAACCTAGCACGTTGTAGCAACTTAAACCTAGCATGCAATGCGGATGCTGTCTGTATCATAACGGTAATGTCATGAGAATAGTACTGGAGAGCAAGCAGAGAACATGACTTGCAAGACTTTGGGTCAAAGGTGTCGTTGACCCAACAGGCAGCATGACGTAGGCAAAAGAGGTGATTGTCACTCTGAGACAAGGGCACACAGCACCCTTCAAACCCACACAAGGCGGGCTGGAACTCGGAAGACGCATCCATTGATCCACCGAGCCCCGACAGGGTTTTCCAGGGCCCATATCCTGACTGCTATGGGAAACCCGGGCATGGTGTTTGCTAACTGGTTTAGGCCCAAAGCTAACAAGGGGGAGATCAAAACACCGAAACCCCTGTGGTGTGTACAATCATGGGGGCCTAGCAGAGGGCCACTAAAATATTATAAGTGGAATGATAACCACACCAGGCAAGAAAAACCAAAAACAAAAGAAAAACCCCGCAAAAGTATGTCTCCAGAGGAAACAGGAACGGGCTGCTGCGTAGGTAGGCAGGCAGCACAATACCTTGACGCCCCAACCAGCACGATACCACTCCCTACCCAAGGCCAAACAAGGACCACGAAACCCTAGTTGGCCCCAAGGGTGGGGTAAATGCTGAGCAGCAAGAATCCCCATGGAAATGGTTATCCCGAGAGCACCAGGGAAGGGTACCCTAATATGCAAAGGCAGTACTCACAGGGCGCCTAGGGAAGGACGCCCTTAAGCACATGCAGCCCTGGCACTGATTAGGAATACCTGCCCACCACACACAACAACACTGCAGAGGTCACCATGAAGGCAAATCATAGCCATGGAACTTGAGGCCAGAGAAGACGTCCACCCCAGATCACATTAGCTAACTAACTGGAGTGCTGGGTAGGCGGCTCGGGGAGGTTCGGGGCTCCCCCTTTCCCCTCGGGGAGGGGAGAACTGCACAGATGAGCAGCACAGCTGTCGAGTGTGATGTTTGCTTGTTTCCCTGGGATTGGAGGGAGTTCTACCTCTCTCTTTTCGTTTTTTTTCTTATTATGTGGGGTTTGTTTTGTTATGCCTACCTTACTGGGTGCCTATCCCCAGTCGATGGCAAATAAGGAAAACCTCCAAACCACAGGGGGGTTTTCCAGGGCTATTGCACCCTGCAACCTCTCTGAAGGGGCCAGGTTTTGGGTCATGGTCCCTGGTTCAGACATCATCAGTTGCAAGTCGTGTGTAAACCGCTTTTCATTCATAAATTCCCAGCGAGCATGAGAAATATTGCCGGAACAACCGTGGACATCTTCAAGATAAAACTAGATCTTTTTTTCTAGGAGTGCCGGACCAACTGGGCTCTGGTGGATATGTGGGCCTGCGGGCCGCTGCAAGCAACAACCTGGTGGACCAAACTCTCAAAAGTCAAGCCTGGCCTCGGGCCGGGTTTGGGGAGTAGAAGACATCGAGTTTCGTGTTACATCTTTCATTTTGGTATCAAATTGTGTGCACTCTAAAGGTGCTTATTTTGAAACTATCCCGAAGTCGATCGGATAAAAAATGAATTTTATACAAATATTTTTGTAATGGACGCGAGCGCTGTCCATGGCTATGACTCGAGAAAAAAAGTGGACATGATCGGTGTCCAAAGCCAGCAATAGTGTTTTAATTGAGCAAAAGCTCATCAATTGAGACAAAGATTCCATGAGTGGCTCGCTCGTTACCTGAAATGCTTGTAGATGGGGCTGCTCGTCACACGAGATTCCTCTGTAATTGCTTTAACAAAAATGACAGTTGGAGACAAGTTCTTATTAGTGGTACAGTACATGGGATTTAAATTAGTGGTCTGTGGGATCATATTAGTGGTCCGTGGGATCATATTAGTGGTCTGTGGGATCATATTAGTGGTCCGTGGGATCATATTAGTGGTCTGTGGAATTAAAAATTATGAATTTAGTGATCCGTGAGGTCCGAAAGGTTGGCAACCACTGTTCTTGACCACTACACCATGACATGGTCAAAAGCATTTCAACCTGGGATTCATCTGAATTCTCTAGGGGTTCCTGAGGCTTCTAATGAAGCCTAGTCAGGAAGAGAAGTTTAGTCTGAAGAGAAGCATTGTAGGTAGAATTCCTAGACTACAAGCTAGAGTGCATGGAGGGATTGTGTGAACAGGAACCCTAGAGGTTTCAGTTGAATCCCAGTTTGCAATGCTTTTGACCATGTCATGATCTAGAATGTGCCCGAGAATACCCAGCACATAGGTTTGAATCTTCCTTATTCCTTAGGGGCCTCGTAGCCTGGTGGATAGCGCGCAGGTCTCGTAATTCTGTGGCGCGGGTTCGATTCCCGCACGAGGCAGAAACAAATGGGCAAAGTTTCTTTCACCCTGAATGCCCCTGTTACCTAGCAGTAAATAGGTACCTGGGAGTTAGTCAGCTGTCACGGGCTGCTTCCTGGTGGTGGAGGCCTGGTCGAGGACCGGGCCGCGGGGACACTAAAGCCCCGAAATCATCTCAAGATAACCTCAAGAAGATGGCTCCTACTGATTTTCTCATTGATACATCATGTTAATGTGATTTCTTGTGTATTTGAAGAGAAGTGTTGGAAGTAGAATGCCTAGACTACAGGCCAGAGCACATGAGGGGCATTGTGTGAAAGCCTGACTAGGCTTCAGTGGAAGCCTCAGGAACCCTAGAGGATTCATTTGAATCCCAGGTTGCAATACTTTTGACCATGTCATGGTGTAGTGGTCTAGAGTTTACCTGGGAGTACCCAGCACGTAGGTTCAAATCATCCTTATGGCTCCTACTAATTCTCAATAATAATAATAATAGTCTTGTGATTTTTTTTTTTTTTTTTTTTTTTTTTTTTTTTTTTTTGCCAACAAATGTATGAATTTGTTGCTATTGTTAATTTTAATCTTCACCTATTTCAGTTTAATGTGCTAGTGGACACAGGCAGCAGCAACCTGGCAATTGCAGGGGCTCCACATAAAGAATTGGACACTTTTTATGTGAGACAGAATTCCTCAACGTATGTGGATCTTGGCAGGGATGTTAAGGTTATATATACTCAAGTAAGTAATGTGATCTAGATGTATGTTATATTATTCCCTCTATGAATGACAGAGTAAAGGCCTGCTGTTGGGTGTAGGAATTCATTGATCCTGAAAGGTGAGTACATACAGTGGAATCCTGTTAGAATGTAACATGTGGTTTTAAACCCCTCTTTTGCATCCGATCTTTTCTATTTTTCTGAGGTGGAATAAATAAAGATGGGATTTCTTCTCCATCAGTAACTCTCTGCGTTTATACAAAGGCACTATCAAGTCTGAGTTCCACATACAGTACAAGGCCTCTTAATAACCATATGTCACCTACTGGAAGCCAAGACCAGAGTCTGACTTTACAATGGGAGAGTAAGGGGATCAGAAATCAACCAAGACTGTGAGAACTCCATAAAGCATAGTCACAATAAAACTAGTGACTACTTGAAGGAAATTAGGCCCTGACAAATGTAATTGGCAAACGAGTGTTGCTGCATGGTAATCACAGCAGTTTACCACAATACACCCACCTGATAACCAAACCAAAATTCCCCACAAACACCTCCCCCACACTCTTTTTCTGGGGGAAATCCTGTTGGCTTCCTGGAGCTATCTAAGAAGCCAACAGGAAGAACTAATGCTATATTTCACCATCCATATAATTAAAAGTGGGAGGGGGGTGTTTGGGTTTTTGTACCCTCAGAGCGGGGCTTGGTGTTACAAGGAGAAGGGTTCACTTTCACTCCCTCCTCGTATGAATTGGATTTGGCATGTACCCCCCCCGGGTTTGGTTCCGTGATCCTGTGGGTTCCTCGGTCCCGTCCTTCCTGAGGTTTTTGTCTTCCCGCGACCCGTCACATGTGTTGCAGGAAGCCCTTGCCGCTTACCTCCTGCGCGACCTGGATTATGCTCTCGTTATGGATTCGCATTCCTTCGTGCATGGATCTTCGTGTTCGTAGTGGGTTCGTTATGAAGTTCCGGAGTCATCCTGGTTAGCAGACTGCCCGCTCTTCTCATTGATTGCAGCCATCTCCTTCTTTTCTGGCAAAGAATGATACTGCTGCTTTCCGGAAGGGTCCTTGGGTTGTTGATGCTTGGTTAGTCAGGCTGGGGGTGCATCATGTGCTGTGTCCGGTTGTGGTTCTCCGCAGTTATTTGCGCGCCACGGCTTCGGTGGATGGGGATGGGCTTTGGAATGATCCGGTTTCCCTTCTTCCCTATTCCCGGCGCTCGGGTCTCTCAGGTTGTTCGCAGTATTATTAAGTCAAGCCAGCCTGTGTTTTATTCCCATGCCCACGATGTTCGTAAGTTTGCTGCTTTGGCTGCTGTCTTTGGCAACATGTCTAGGGTTGACATTCAGGCACAGGTTTTTTAGAGGTCGAACAGGGTTCTGGTCGCCATCGACCGGGTCAAGCATCCAGAAAGGTAAGCATTCCAAAACAAACCCCTATTCTGGTGAAAATTGCTACCTAAAGCCGAACTAGTGGATAGAACTCTTCAACAGAAAACAAGGAAACTAGTATGACGTCATACGTCACCGCGCCGCTGTCTGCGCAGCTCCCCCCTCCCCGGGAGGGGGAAGGGGGAGCCCCAGACCTCCCACGCCGGCTATCCACCCATCAGTTCTTCGGCTGATGCTATAGGCAACGGTTATGTGCTCCGGCTCCAGTGGTTGTTTCAGCACTGTACCTAGAGTGTGGTGTCTGTTTTCTAGGTGGTGCGTGAGCCGGGAGTGATTCTCCAGTACTTGGGCTGCATGCGCCTAGGGTTCCCTTCCCTAGGTGCCCTGTAAGTACTGCCCTTGGGGCTTGGGGCTACCTTCCACAAGTTCCTTGGGTTCTGCCCCTGCTAGGCCGTTTACTGCTTGGTTTTCGGCCGCCCCTTGTGTGCTCGGGTGTTCTGTCTCCCTTGTTCGCCTTGGGGTAGGGGCAGTTTGCACTGGCGGGGCGCAGGGTACTGCGCAGCTAGTTTTTACCTATTATAGCGGCCAGCTCTGTTCCGCCTGGGTACGCTGTCCTCTTGCGGGGTTTTCTTTTTCTTTTTGTTTTCTGCCTGGTGGGGGGGTCTGCCTTGGTTCTTGCCCCCTTGAACTGAGTACTCTTCCTTCTTCCGGTGGTTTCCCCTGCTAGGTCCCCGTGAGTGTACACGTCCTTGGGGTTCAATTCTTAGAATGTTGTTTGGTAGTTTTGGACGCTGGTTAGCAGTACCCTGCCTGGGTTTACCTGGGCGCAAGTCCTCTTAAAGTAAACGCTCAGGACCCTGGGAATCGCCACGGGGACGCGTGGGTTCGATGGATGTGACCCCGGGGTCCCCCCTTCGCTTTGTGCGAGTTCGAGGGACAGTTCGAGACTCTGTCCCCTTGTCTCAGGATGACTCGCTGTTTTGCCTCCGTCTGCTGCCTGTGGGGTCGGTGGCACCTTCGACCCGGAGCCCTACGAGTTTTGTTGCTTGTTCGTGGCTTGCTGACCCAGTCTTATGCTGACTATGGGGGTGCAGACAGCACGGGCGTTATGCATCGTGTTTCGGTTTGGCAACGCTCTAGGTTGTTGCTCCCGGAAGCCCTGAAGCTGCCCCGTTTTGGTTACGGGGCTTGGGGGTGTTGGTTGTTTTGGTTTCCTTCCACGCCCCCTTGTCCTCACCCCCTTCCCCCTCTTCCCTGCATCCAAGTCCTTACCATCTCTGGGTTCGGGGTCGGGGTGGGGTTTCGATGGTTTTGAGACTCGAGTGGTCTTGGGAAATTCCCCTTCCGGGGTAGCGACGGGGGCATTCGAGCCTGTTCTCCAGCCGTGTTGTACGAGTCTGCCAGTGGGCTCTCTTCCTTGGTATTTTTCACGGCTGCCCCTGTTTTTCTTGAGGCCGGGGCTTTGGGGGGACGGCTTGGCCCCGGGGCCTGACATGTGGGTTCCTAGGGCTGGGGAGGGGCTGTCTGGGGGGCCCCGGGCCCCATTGGTCCCCGCCAGGGTTATTCTGCCCTTCGAGCGGGGCTTGCAGTTACGGGGAGTGGGTTTTTTTCCTTCCCCCCCTCCTTGTACGATTAGTTGGGCATCGGCCCCTCCCCGGGCTCGGTTTCTTGTTCCTCGAGTCCATTGATTCCGTCCTGTTCGTGGGTGCTCTTTGCGTTTTTTTCACCCCTCTTCTTGGGACGGGACTTCCCTGTCATGTTCCCCTTTTCTTTTTGGGGGTTCTGCATGACTTTTGGTCTCGGGTGCGACTGTGCTTTTATGAGCCTTCATCGGTGTTCGGGAAGGTTTTCCCTATTTCCCGTATTGTTGGAATGTCTTTGGTGTGGCTTCCCTCTGATCTTTTCAGGGGTTGTTGGTCCCCTTCCGGGTTTATTCTGGGTTTTTGGTCCTGTCTCGGTCTTTTGTTCCTGTGTTTTTCTTCATCTTTGGTCTCGACACTGTTCATACTCCTTATCCGGGGTGCCAGTTTGGTCTACTTGTAGCTCAATTGGGTTGCTGGTTCGTTCCTTGTCTTCCTTACATTCACCGGATATGTGTGTCACTGCTTCCTGTTTTTGCTCCTGTTCCCATCCGCTGGGCTGTTTCTGCCCCTGCGTCCAACCCTCAGGTCACGGGCTGTTTGGGCTACTTGTGCAGTGGTCCTTTTGGGTGCCTTCCCGCCGAACGGGTTGTGCGCGTGCTCCGTGAGAGTTTGTTTTAGTCTGGGCGGTGTGCACGAGTGCTCGTGTTTTGCGGCTGTTTTTCTCGGGTGCTTCGCCTCTCATTCTTCTCGCTTCTCCAGTCCTTAACCCGTAGCAGGACTGGAGGACACCCCGTAGCTACTGGGGTGTTCTGCGTTGTGGTTATAGGGCGGACACCGGGGTTTTCCCGTGTTATGGGTGCGGGGCGCTTTTTTCGCCTCTCCCCTTCCCTTCTACATGTGCGGCTCGGGGCTTCTTCCCCTGGCGGTGCTCCCGGCATCTTCTCGGCTACGTTGTGTAATTACCTAAGTGTAATTACCCAAGTGTAGTTACAGGATGAGAGCTACGCTCATGGTGTCCCGTCTTCCCAGCACTCTTTGTCATACAACGTTTTGAAACTACTGACGGTCTTAGCCTCCACCACCTTCTCGCCTAACTTGTTCCAACCGTCTACCACTGTTTGCGAAAGTGAATTTTCCTTTATTTCTTCTGCATTTGTATTTATCTAGTTTAAATCTATGACCTCTTGTTCTTGAAGTTCCAGGCCTCGGGAAATCTTCCCCATCGATTTTATCAATTCCTGTTACTATTTTGTACGTAGTGATCATATCGCCTCTTTTTCTTCTGTCCTATAGTTTTGGCATATTTAATGTGTCTAACCTCTCCTCGTAGCTCTTGCCCTTCAGTTCTTGGAGCCACTTAGTAGCATGTCTTTGCACCTTTTCCAGTTTGTTGATGTGCTTCTTAAGATATGGGCACCACCCAACAGCTACATATTCTAGCTTTGGCCTAACAAAAGTTATGAACAATTTCTTAATTATATAGCTCCTGTGCGTTCTTGTCGCCTTAGGTTGCAGCCTGTTGTCTCGGCTTCGCGTTGCGGAGTTTGTGGCGGCCGCCTCCCGGGTCAACCCTTTCTTTTTCTTTTCTTTGGATATAAAGCTCCAGGGAGCCGTAGGGGCTCCCCACAGAAAACCAGCGTTGAATGGAATGAAACGCCATTTTCTGGGTGAGCCCCGTAGGCTCCCTGGCAACCCTTCCTCCCACCGGTCAGCGTTTTTTTCGTGTTGGTTGAAGCTTAGCTTCCGAACTGATGGTAGGCAGCCGGCGCGGTAGGTCCGGGGCTCCCCCCTCCCCCTCTTGTGGCGGGGAGGGCTGAGCAGACGATCGGCGCAGCAGTAAAGTGTGATGTTTGCTTGTATGCTTGTTTGCTTGTTTCCCTGGGATTGTAGGGAGTTTCTACCTCTCTGTTCGGTTTTTTGTTTTAGTTTTTTTACCATGTGGGGGTTTGTTTTGTTATGCCTACCTTTCTGGGTACAAACCCCGGTCGATGGCAGATAAGGAAAACCCCAACCACAAGGGGGTTTTCCAGGGCCATTGCTCCCTGAAACCTCTCTGAAGGGGCCAGGTTCTGGCACTGGTCCCTGGTAGGTCTGAACTCCTTAGCTAATGTCCCGGTCTAATATAACATACATTAGCCCAATAAGCTCCAGGGAGCCTCCGGGGCTCACCCAGAAAATGGCGTTTCATTACATTCAACGCTGTTTTTTTTTTTTTTTTTTTTTTTTTTTCAAGCTCTTCCCCAAACACCCCCCTCCCACTTTTAATTATATGGATGGTGAAATACTAGACTCATAACAGTTCATGACTTTTTGTGAGACCAAAATTGGAATATGCAGCAGTTGTATGGTGCCCAAATCTCTAGAAGCACATAAATGAACTGGAAAAGGTGCAACGGCATGCTACAAAATAGCTTCCGGAACTGAAAAACAGATTTATGAGAAGAGACTAGAGGCGTTAAACATGCCAAAACTAAAAGATCGAAGAAAGAGAGGTGGTATGATCACCATATACAAGATACTAATAAGAATAGACCAAATTGACAAAGAGGAATTCCTGAAATCAGCATCTTCATGAACAAGAGGACACAGATTCAAGCTAAGAAAACAGAGGTGCCGAAAAAATATTAGAAAATTTTCTTGTGTAAACTGAGTGGTAGAAGGTTGGAACAAACTAAGTGAGAAGGTGGTGGAGGCCAAAACCATCAGTATTTTCAATGCAGTATACGACAAAGAGTACTGGGAAGACAGGACACCACGAGCGTAGCTCTCATCATGTAACTACATTTAGATAATTACCCTCCTGATACACAGATGTTGCTGAAACTTTTGTATACAAACATAAATGGGGTTAGATAAAAAATACTGAAGTTAAATCATATAATACAATTAAAGATATCAGATAGTGTTGCACTAGCAGGGACAAATCTTTAGAGATAAAATTTTAAATGAGGTGACATTCTGAAAGGCCTTCTCAATTTTGCCATAATAGCTATAAAACAAAAATTAAATTTCATAATAAAATAAAATAATATAAAAGCAAAATAGCTGAAAAATTTGATTTCAAGAGAGGACAGTATGGGGAAGTTAGCAAGTTCTTTAACCCCTGCACTGCGCAGGTATTCTAGCATTGGTTTACATGGTTGGGAAGTTCATTAGACAGGTTTTAAGGTTTCATTCTCCTTATGAACCCAGCAGTGGTTTGTTTTGGCTCTACTTTCTGGATGCTTTCCCCTGGTGAAGTGGCAAAATATCACTGCTCCCTGCACCTTTGTGAAGGGGGCCAGGTTCTATCTCTGGTCGCCCGATAGGCCTGAGAACTTCACGGCTGATGGGACCTGCTAGATGGGAACCATCTCAGTGTGTAGCTTTAAGGAGCCACTGGAGCTGACCCAGATATTAGCATTTCATTACATTCAATGCTGGTTTTTCTTTTCTTTTCAGAGTAGTTGGACAGGCCACTTGGGACGTGATTTGGCACAGTTTCCCAGTCTGCCTGGCACAGTACCTCTTGTAACAGACATGGCACTTATTACCATGTCGGACAATTTTTATGTCAACAACTCACATTGGCAGGTATTCTAATTGATCATATTGTTTAAATTATCCCCATTTTTATAATTTTGTTGTTCCAAATTTGTTAACTCTTTAACTGCGCAACGCGCCTGCAGGCCCACGTCTGGGGTGCGCTACGCGCCTCCGGGTATTCGTATTTTTCACGCTCCATTCAAAACTCCCGTGGCTACATGGGGTTTACATCAGCTTCCTCAGGGCTCTTGTAAACAGACGCCATCTTTAACCACTAAACTGCGCCAGCCAAGTATTCTCAGTCGGCGGGAAACTGCGCCAACCGAGAAAACTCTTTTTTGATTTTCGGTACCAATTCTAAATGTGTACGAGGTTGGTGGTGTACGAAATGAATTCTTAGGACCTCTAGTGAGAGGCAGCCATCTTGGAAAAAATTCCCAGAATGCCCTAGGGCTACTGGCTGGGTTAGTATTGAATGAGCAACCATGGGTGGTGCACGCGCCTCTGGCTCCCAAACACCTGTCCGACGCGGTGTTGAAAGAATGCTCTGTCGGTGAAATTCAAACCTTATTGTTTGAAGAACATAAGGGTCATAATATTGGTGAAGCTAGGCGCAATAAGGACCTAATACAAAGGTCGGATGCAAGTGATACAGCACCTATGAGGACGATACAGTGAGCATATCCAGTTGTAGCTCTGAGCGTCACCCTTGCAATCCTATGCTATCTCCAATTTATTTAGATGATACATAAATGAATTGTTTTCTGCATTCAGTGATGATGCATCTGATACAAGTAGCATAGATGAACAGTGTTAGCGGCTTCCATGGTGGTGTTTTCCATAGATATTTTCAAGAATACCTGAATCTCTTCCTAACTGACAGACACCCTTTGAGGCTACCTGAATCTCTTCCTTACCGACAGACACTCTTTGAAGCTAGCTGAATCTCTTTCTGACTGACGGACACTCTTTGAGGCAAGCTGAATCTCTTCCTGTGTGGGTCCATACAAAGCGATCTTTTCAAGACTACCTTACAAATTTATCTTTTCCTATAATCTTTTCAATACTACCTTATGCTTTACAAGCTTGGTTACATACAACCTACAAGTTCTAAAGCCAAGGGTGTACGTGAGTGCGTTATTTGCAAGCACACAGAATGAAGAAACAGGAAGCGAAAATTTATCTGTGCCTGGTGCACTGAGAGCAAAATCTCGCTGTGTGCCATGGACTACTTCGTTGATTATTACTCACTTTCGAAGTACTGAGTGTGTAATACAGTGTGTTACTGTGTAAATAGTGTGTGTGGAACTGTACATATTGTAATTTTAGTGAATTTTTAACAGGTAATATAGTGACAATAATTATTTATTGTGGACACATTAATGACACATGTATCACAGTTCCAGAGAACATTATGAACGTTCTACTGTATACATATTGTAAAGGACACAATTATGCATCATATACGATAAAAAAAACAAATAAAACTGCATTGGAAATACATAAAACAAATAATTGAAAATATATTTGTGGCAACACCCGGTGCTTGAATGGCCCGTGTGACCGTGTCTGGGCGATTCACGCACGGGTGACCAGGCCCTGATGACGTCACAGCGCAGCTTGTCCACGTCCCCACAGCCAAAGTAAGTGGAATTTGGTATTTATTTTTACATAGGGGTTCAGGGAAGGGAATTTATCATTTTACAAAGAAAAAAGAATTTTTGGGAACACTTTATTTCATGCGCACTGGGGAAATTTCACAATAAACTCGGCACAACACGGTGGTTAAAAAAAATTGTGGTCCACATTCCCGGGTGTGAGAGCCTCAGTAGTGAGTGAGCAACCAAGGCCGGCACACGCAGCATGAGCGTTCAGCACTGCTGTTCAGCGTATGACCACAGCATCGCCTAATAATGTCAAAAGATATATACAGTGGCACCTCTATTAACGAGTTTAATCGTTCTGGCACTGAGCTCGTTATGTGGAAAACTCATCTTAAGAAATAAATTTCCCCATTTAAAATAAAGGAAATAAATTTAATCCATTCCACTCCCAAAAACATCCATACTTGTATGACATTATTTTATGTAAATATAATATTGCACATGTAATTATAAATGTTTTGTTGTACTGTTTTCATGCTTACTTTACCTTACAAAGAGTCGTTGCTGGTTTGAGGGAGACGATGGGGACGTTGGAAGGAGGAGAGGGGTTAGGGTGTGGAAGGAGAATCCACCTCTGAGTCAGGCGGGCTCTCTCTTCTTGGGAATTTCACCCCACTGGGACCGGGTTGTGGTTCACTATCACTGGCTCTACTTTTCTCTACTTTTGCAAAGAACGTATCTATTAACAATTGCTTTTGTCTTTGTTTTAGGATGTCCCTGAAACGAGGCAGCAGATTGTCATTAAACATGTTCACACATCGGGTTGTCACTACTTTATCAAGGGTGATATTTTTCTAAGAATGCAGTCACCTTTACAAACATTCCCAACACGTCCCTGATCTCACTTTAAGAGGCAGCAGCATCCTCCCCTACCTCCTCCTCCCCTGATGAGAGCTCTTGTGCCTCCTCTTGATTAAGCTCGTTCTGAAGTTCCAGGAGTTCCTCAGTGGTCAGTACCTCACTGTGCTCCTCCACTAACTCCTGCCCATCAGCAGCATCCAACTCCAGACCCAAAGTTTGCCCCAGAGCAACAATATCATCCACTAGATGCACTTCTGGATCTTCCACAGGTGCAGATGCAGATGCAAGTGCAGGACTGAAACCTTCAAAGTCTCGCTCAGGGACACCCTCAGGCCACAGGTTACGCCATGCAGAGTTTAGGGTCCTCCGTGTCACTCCTTCCCAGGCCTTATCGATCAAACGTAAGGCACCCAGGATATTGAAGTGGTTCTTCCAGAACTCTTTGAGGGTCAGCTCTGTTGTCTATCACATCAACACACCTCTCCAACAAGGCCTTCATATAGAGTTTCTTAAAGTTTGCAATGACTTTCTGGTCCATAGGTTGGAGGAGTGGAGTGGTATTGGGAGGAAGGAACTTGATGGTGATGAACTGATTTTCGGGATACAATTCTTCTCGCATCTGTGGAGGATGTGCAGGAGCATTGTCGAGCACAAGCAAGGCCTTGAGTGGCAACTGCTTCTCTTCAAGATATTTCCTCACTGAAGGGCCAAAAACATCATTGCCCTATTCAGTGAAGAATATCTGCATGACCCAGGATTTCTTATTGGACTTCCACATCACATTCAGTCGCGCCTTGTACACTTTACATGCCTAGAACACGCGTGGATTTTCTGATTGGTAGACTAGCAGCGGCTTGACCTTGCAATCGCCACTTGCATTGGTGCAGAGCATGAGAGTAAGCCGATCCTTCATCGGTTTGTGGCCAGGCAAAGATTGTTCCTCCTGTGTGATGTAGGTCCTCTTCGTCATTTTCTTCCAAAACAGGCCAGTCTCGTCACAATTAAAAACTTGTTGGGGCAAGAACTCCTCTCTAGCAACAAATTCCTGGAACTCTGGTACAAATTTCTCGGCAGCAGCTTTATCAGAGCTGGCAGCCTCCCCATGTCTCACAACACTGTGGATACCGCTTCTCTTCCTAAATTTCTCAAACCATCCACGGCTTGCCTTAAATATCTCCTCCTCTTCAGATGACGCACCTGGTGTCTTCCTGACAAGGTCCACATACAACTTCTTGGCCTTAGCACAAACAAGAGCTTCAGACACACTATTGCCATGTAATTGCCTTTCATTCATCCAGACTAGCAGTAGCTTTTCAGACATCTTTCCCCCGGTTCAGTTATTGCTCTAGGTCCTAACTCGCTTGCAGACTTACCAGGGAAAAGTAGTCGTCTTGGCCCCGTGGTGGCCGGCCCAGAAGTGATTTCAGGTGCTGCTTGCTCGGTGTCCGAACCCGGAGGTTTTTCCGTGGCTCTGCCTTTTCCAGCAGATCGGACCGGAGCGTCACGTAGCTGGTTCAATCTTCTTCTCAAGTCTTCACTTATTGTATTTTTTACTCGAGTTTATCATCATCTCTATGGTGATCAGGTGGCTTCCTTGTTAGTGTCTCATTTGGGGGCTTCTTCTCAGTGGCAGTACGAGGTGTCCTGGTGGTCCTCCTGGTAAAGTTCCTGAGACCTGGAACTTTAAGAACAAGAGGGTCATAGATTTAAACTAGCTAAACACAGATGCCGAAAAAATATAAGAAAATTTGCTTTCACAAACAGAGTGGTAGATGGTTGGAACAAGTTAGGTGAGAAGGTGGTGGAGGCCAAGACTGTCAGTAGTTTCAAAGCGTTATATAACAAAGAGTGCTGGGAAGACGGGACACCACAAGCGTAGCTCTCATCCTGTAACTACACTTAGGTAATTACCTCAACTTGACACTTATCCCTCCATCCCTCCCTCCCATCTCTCCCTCCCACCATCTCTCCCTCCCTCCCTCCCCTCCCTCCTCCATGGAGCTGGTCGGCCGAGTGGACAGCACACTAGACTTGTGTTCCTGTGGTCCTGGGTTCGATCCCAGGTGCCGGCGAGAAACAATTGGCAGAGTTTCTTTCACCCTATGCCCCTGTTACCTAGCAGTAAAATAGGTACCTGGGTGTTAGTCAGCTGTCACGGGCTGCTTCCTGGGGGTGGAGGCCTGGTCGAGGACCGGGCCACGAGGACACTAAAAAGCCCCGAAATCATCTCGAGATAAGATCCATCCATCCATCCATCCATCCCTCCCTCCCTCCCTCCCTCCCTCCCTCCCTCCCTCCCTCCCTCCCTCCCTCCCTCCCTCCCTCCCTCCCTCCCTCCCTCCTTCCTTCCTTCCTTCCTTCCTTCCTTCCTTCCATCCATACCTCCCTCCCTCCCTCCTTCCATCTCTCCCTCCCTCCCTCCCTCCCTCCACCCATCAATCAATCCATCCATCCATCCATCCATCCATCTATCCATCCATCTCCATTCTCTCCCTCTCTGCCTCCCTCCCAGCCTCTGCCTGCCTGCCTCCCTCCCTGCCTACCTCCCAGCCTCTTCCTACCTGCCTGCCTCCCAGCCTCTTCCTACCTGCCTGCCTACATTTCAGCCTCTCCATCCCTGCCTGCCTGCCCATCCACCTACCAGTCAGCCATCACTGACACAATGAGTGCAATTAGAGCCGACATGGTGCACGGATGTTCCTTGATTGTGCAGATATGTCCAACAAAGTCACGGAATGAACACTCCAGCCTTTTGACAAACCAAAACAATGTGCAGTGAATCTTTGACATCACAGGGTAGAAGGCACTAGAGTGGTGGACCAAGTGGCAGTCTGTACAAAATATATCTTACCTGAATGTTACTTGAAAAATTACCGACTCTTAACTTCAGTAATATCGGAGCTCCAGAAATAATGACTAGGGTACAGCCCCATATAGGCCGGTAAATCGAGTGGATTCTGTGTTCGGCTTTTGGTAGCAATTTTCACCAGTATAGGGGTTTGTTTTGGGACGCTTACCTTTCTGGGAGCCTGACCCGGTCGATGGCAGACATAGAATGCTTCCAACCACACTGGGGTTTCTATAGGCCATTGCTCCCCATGCCTAATCTGAGAGGGCCAAGTTCTGGCTCGTGGTCCCCGGTAGGCCCACGGAACTCCATACACATGACTGACTGATGCCAGTCTGACATTATCATAGCAGCCTGGATAAGCTCTGGGGAGCTTCCGGGTCTCACTCAGAAAATGGCGTTTCATTACATTCAACGCTGTTTTTTTTTTTTTTTTTTTTTTTTTTACATGATGTACAGGAGTTATTTAATTTTCAATATGTAAAAGAGACGCCAAAAATTTAATGCAATTTAATTGTTAATTCTAGGGTATTTTGGGCCTGGCCTTCTCAGCATTAGCTCAGCCGCAAGGAGTAGTTGTCCCGTGGTTTGATGGACTTGTTACCCGGAACCATACTGCCAATACTTTTTCCCTTGAATTGTGTGGACCTTCTATGGAAGAGGGCGTATATCACCACTTTGGACGACTATTTATTGGTTAGTTGGGTATTCCCATCAGGTGGATACCATGCAATTCTGCATTTCTTTATTGCATATGTGTTTTTATTTCACTATTTTCTTTACTCTAACTGGGAATACCTCTTTCAAATATTATATACACTTGTCTTTTGGGAAGTTTCCCTCATTAGCTTCCCAAGCAAATTGCTAGTCCAACCACTCTTTAGGAAGATGCATCAGGCCTCTGAGTTTACATACATGCTGTTCGTTCCCTAGTTATTTATGAAGCACCTACCTTACTCTTTCTCCAAGCCAATGGGCAAAGGTTAAAGTTATTCAAGAGATGCAATGTGAATCATAACAGGGGTTCCCAGATGAACTAAAATATTAAATCCAAGAGTTGAAATCAAACTAACGTCAGTTCACATAAGAGTAATAGGGCTTGCTGCATATATGCTGATGAAATGACTGGTAGTTTAACTAGGAGAAACGTTTACATTAACAACCACAAAAGCTAAACTTTATATACCAGTCATTACATACCTCCTTATCTCCTTACCTCAAACATTAATCAGCGGCGCATTGGTCGTTCTGCCCTGCTGGAGCTTGTTGCGCTGATCCTGCAGGATGCGGTGTCACTGTTTTCACTTCACATCTTGGGTGTTGGCTCATGGTGCTCACTTCCTCGTTGGCCTCTGCCTAGGCCCTGGCTCTTAGGTTTTCATCGTCATTTTGTTCTTGCTATTTGCAGGGTCTGTGGTTGGTCAGTTTCTGCAAGCGGCGGCTTCTCGTTGTCATCCGTTATCGGACTTGTTGGTCCTTCAGGGGTCCTGGGGGGGGTGGTCCTCCCAGACAGGGCATGTCTGCTTGCCCAGGTTGGTTCTTTCCCGGCTTGCCGGGTTCAGGTTCCTGTTCCCTGGCAGTCGTTCCATCTGGTTCCCTGGTGACCTTGGTTTCAGGCGCTGCTTGCTTGGTGTCCACACCCTGGGGGTTTTCCTATGGCTCTGCCTCTTTTCATTGCTCCGTCCAGTCCGTTACAGGGCTGGTTCAGTCTTCTCCTCGAGTCTTTGCGTCTGGTACTTTTGACTTGAATCTGTTACCATCTGTTTGGTGAGCAGGTGGCTTCGTTGATGGTGTCCCACCTGTGGGCTTCGTCTCGGCGGGGGTATAGGATTCTTGGCGGTCCTTCCTTTTTCTTTTTGTCTCTTCGTAGGTCTACTGCGCTTTTTATTGAAGAGGTCTTGTCCTTTTCTCGAGTAGGTTGAGGACCGTCATCTTGCCGCATGCTGTCGCCTTGTCTCTTGTGGCACTGGTGGAGTTGTTACGCATTGCTTTCAGTTTTGAAGTTCCTTCTGCACCATTTCATATGCTGTCTCGTGCATTGTTTCACCTCCGGCCTGCTCTTGCACCGCCTGAGCCGTCCTGGTCTTGAACAGGGTACTCTTTTTCTCTCTTCCCCTTGGTTTGTTGTGGGCTCTTTGGTTCAGGTTTGTTTCTCAGTGGTGTCTGCTCCTTTGGGTTCTGTTGGTCGGCTTGTTCATTTGCAGCTTTCTCTTCTTTTCTGGTGAGGTTGGGACGGCTGTTTTTCAGAGGGGTCACTGGGGTTGATGATGCTTGGTTGGTTGGCCGTGAATGCATCTTCTTGTGTCCTGTTGTGGCTCTCAGCCATTGCCTTCGTGCCACGGCTTCTGTGGCCCTGGATGGGCTTTGGGTTGACTTGGTTCCCTTTGTCCCTGTTCCAAAGTTCAAGTCTCCTGGGTCGTCCGCGGGGTTCTTTGGTGTTACCAGTTGTTTTGTTTTTGGATTCCAGCACATGATTTCCGCCTCCTGGGTTTGTCCCTCTATTGTCCTTGGTTTTAGGTAGTTATCTCCAGAGAGCTGAAGGGGGCTTACCCCAGAAAACCAGCATTGAATGTAATTAAATGCCATTTTCTGGGTGAGACCTGGAGGCTCCCTGGCAACTCCCTTCTCCCGGTCGGTGTTTTTTGCAAGTTTTGACATCCAACCTTCGAACTGGAGGTTTGATCGTCGGTGCGGTGGGTCTGGGGCTCCCCCTTCCCCTTCCCTGGAAGGGTGGAGCTGCGCAGACATGCGACTCGGCACGTGTGACATCATACTAATTTGCTCATTTTCAATTGGGGAGTTCTGTTCACTCATCAGTCTTCTTTAGTAGTTTTAACCAGAATAGGGGTTTGTTTTGTGGCGCTTACCTTTCTGGGTGCTTGGCCCGGTTGATGGCAGAATTAGAATGTTCCTAATCCCGTGTGCTATGAGCCATTGCTCCTTGTGCCTCTCTGAGGGGCCAGGTTCTGGCTCTTGGTCCCCGGTAGGCCTAGAACTCTATTCACACTGACTGGTGCCAAAGTCTAATGATATACATATAGGCCTGGATAGCTCTGGAGAGCCTCAGGGTCTCACCCAGAAAATGGGGTTCATTACATTCAATACTGTTTTTTTTTCCCCTGCTTAGTGTTATTTTCTAATTGCTTATGCCTGCAAAGTATAGAAATGGCTATTATTCTTGCCCCCCTTCAAACTTGGCTTTGACCTTTGCTTTAGACAACTTTCCTAAACTGTCTAAGGCCAAAATAAAGTTTGAAGGGAATAATAGCAGTTTTCTATACTATGAAGCAACAAGGAATTACAAAATAACACTCCCAGGAACAAAATTTGTTACATAATAGTCATTCCAACCTTCCTTGCCCACTCATCTGTTTGCTCATTTTTTACCCTGCTTCATCACCAACTCTTATATTCATACACTAAATAATTATTTTAAATTAATAGGTCTTTAATAGCTAAGTTTTATTACAATGCAGGTTAACTCTTTCTTTAATCTGATGGATAATTTGTTATGGTGTTCAGGAAGTGATGTTGGTGCCTGTTCACTCCCGGTTGTCACCACCCCCATCAGACGATCATGGTTTTATGAAGTGTTGGTGGTTGCAGTAGGTGTTGGGGAAACATTACTGAGCCTGCCTTGTGTTAAGTACAACACAGATAAGAGCATTATAGACTCGGGCACATCTAATCTGCAATTGCCTTCTGAGGTATATGTATTGGCTGTTTGTTTTTTAGTTTAATGTATTTTCTCTTATTTTATAAATGGTATTTGATACCTTAAAAATGTCATAAACTTCACGTAACTTGTATTAAAAATTACGACATAGCTTTTGTATAAAATCTTGTCTGTTCAAATTAGACAAAGTTCAAGAAATACATACATATAAATAGTTTAGTTTGTCATAATTAGCACTCTTCCTTTGCAGGAAGATAAATAAGAATATGTATTCTACCTGTTTTCTGGGTAGGCCTTCTCTGTAGCTTAACACTTAAATGGCATAAATCAAATAAATGTTTTTTGTCTAACTGCCTGCACAGCGCACATCGCGTAAACATGTTTTAAAGTACCTGTACCATAAAGTACCATATCATCAGGAGCCGGTCGGCCGAGCGGACAGCACGCTGGACTTGTGATCCTGTGGTCCCGGGTTCGATCCCGGGCGCCGGCGAGAAACAATGGGCAGAGTTTCTTTCACCCTATGCCCCTGTTACCTAGCAGTAAAATAGGTACCTGGGTGTTAGTCAGCTGTCACGGGCTGCTTCCTGGGGGCGGAGGCCTGGTCGAAGACCGGGTCACGGGGACACTAAAAAGCCCTGAAATCATCTAAAGATAACCTCAAGATAGCCTCGTAAGATTTAAAACTCCTGTGGCTTCACGAGGTTTACATCAGCTTCCTCAGGGCTCCAGTAAACACACTGTTTAAAATATAAATCGAGGGTACCATTCCAGGGTGTGAAAACTCAATACTGAGTAAGCAACCAAGGCTGGCACACGCAGCACGAGCTACAAGCACTGCTGTTCAGCTTGCGACCACGGCATCGCTTAAAAATGTCAGAATATATATATAACTGCTCTTATTTAGGGATAGTATTACAGAAGAACCTGACTGTGATAAAGACTGTACAATGTTCAGGTATCAGTGAACACAATGCAGTGAACAACATGTTCACAGTGCTAGCCACAGTACACTGCCATTGTTTGGTCTATATAAGAATCTTGAAACGACTTCTCATGTTCCTTAACCCTTAAGTTGCGCAACACATCATATGATGGGTTGAGTGACTTGCTATAAAATGCGCGTCCCATCATATGATGTATTGGAGTACTACGCAAGATTTAAACGGCCCGTGGATACATGGGGTTCACCTCACCTTCATCAGGGCTCTTGTAAACAGACTCCATTTTTTTTAAATTGTGGGCCAAATTCCTGGGTGTGAGGACCTCAGTATTAAGTGAGCCACCAAGCCTGACGCACGCAGCTTGAGCTCACAGCACTGCTGTTCAGCTTGTGACCACAACATCGCCTAAAAATGTCATATTATTAATAGTTCATGCTATTATTTAGCGATGATATTATTACAAAAGACCCCTGACTGCGATAAAATGACCAGGATTCTGATAATAGCAGGATTGTTGTGATAATTAGCGCTGTAGTGGGAGGAGTAATCTTGGTGCGGAGGGAGGTAGCATTGTCTGCTGACTCTGTGTGACCACCTTTTATTGTCTGAACTCACTATACCAGCTTAGTTGTTTGCTATGGTCCCCTTCCATTATCACATCAGGCAGTGATGTTTTCTCTGGGGTACTCTCTCTCCTACGTTTTGCCTGAATACCACTAGGACCTGGTTGTGGTTCAGTGCTTGTTTGACTCACTACAAATTTGTCAAGAGGTATTTGTTTTTCCCTTCATTTTAACATTTGTCTGTAATGATGCATCACAGTGTCATTGAATAGGTTAAGGCAACGACCTACTGCAGCCTGATTTGGGTGAGTCGTTTCAGCAAAGGTTTGCAATTCTTCCCATGCTGCACACATTTTCTTAATTGTTGAGGAAGAGACATTCTGTACTCTAGTTTCTGCTCTATGGTCATCCTTACATGGGTTTTCATATGTTGAGCCTTACCACTGACTTTCCTGGGACTCATGGCGTGATATATAATAATTACTTTAATGTTCAAAATGCAAAAAATCACCACAAAAGCGGAATTTCTTATAGGCGCGATTGTCACTAAGTGGGCAACTGTAGTAAGCTGAGGCAGGTCGGCCGCGTGACGGAACCACGCGCTCGGTCGACCCGAACGTGCACCAACAAATATTGGAAGTCGATGACACCATCGGATGTCGAGTTGCATTTTTCGATGAAATTTACATCGTAACTCGAAATTATCATAAGTAGGGGCAATCGTATGTCGAGGTGCCACTGCACGCCATAGATACTGTAAATAATGCAGCGAAAATAAATTTGTGGCAACTAGCTGCTTGAATGCTGTCAGCAACGTTCCCAGGACGCACTATGCATGAGCGAGAAAGATCCGTGACATCATTGCCCAACTTCTTGGCTCATTTACGTCATTGTAAGTAAAACAATTTTATTTTACCCCCATGGTCAGGGAACGCAAATGAACAATTTTATAAAACAAATTTTTTTTTTTTATGGGGGGGGGAGCCCTGTTAGCTCCCCAGAACTATCCAGGCTGATATACATATATTTTACCTTTCTGGCATCAGTGAATGTGCATGGAGTTCTTGCCTTCCGGGGACCACACAACCCGTCCTCTTAAAAATAACAACACTTCGCTCGTATGCACGCTATGGCTAAAAGTGGACGTAATTTGAAATGAAATCGACTCACAAAAGTGACGTACTGTCCCATTTTCTGTTTGAGTCCTCCGGCCTACTCGGAAAGGTTAGGAGAGGAAACTTTCAATTAACATTTTTCATACAAATTTGAAACTTCATGAGAATTTCCTGCCCACCTAACCTACCAGAGGACCATTAACTTACTGTTGTTGAAAAAAAAAATCCCAAATTTATTTTCTTTTTTTTAATTTTCAAATTACGTCCACTTTCGGCCATGCGGGCAAACAGCCAAAAGCGACGTTATTCTTAAGAGAACAGGTTGGACCACAAGCCAAAACCTGGCCCCCTCAGAGAGGCAAGTGGAGCAATGGCCTGTTGATATCCCCCCGTGTGGTTGGGAGCATTCTATGCCTGCCATCAATCGGGTCTGGCATCCAGAAAGGTAGGCGCCCCAAAACAAACCCCCCTATTCTGGTGAAAACATTGTTACCGAAAGCCAAATGAGTGGACAGAACTCTCAAAAGGAAAATTAGCAAACGAGCATGACGTCATCACATTGCCGCTCCGCTGTCTGCGCAACCCCCCCTCCCTCTCAGGAGGGATAAAGGAAAGCCCCAGATCCTCATGCCGGCAATCCACCCTTCAGTTCTTGGCTGATGTGCTACTGGCGAGGCCATGTGCCTCTGGCTTCAGCGTTTGTTTCAGTTTCTGTGTCTTGTGGTGTGGGCTGTCTCTACTGATGGTGTGTGAGCCAGGAGTAATATTCTTTGGTACTTGGGCTGCATGCGCCAAGAGTTTGCTACTGCCAAGTACTGCCTTTGGGGCTTGGGACCACCTTCCACAAGTCACCTTGGGATATACCTCTGCTGTGTCTTTTACTTCTCGGTACTTGGCTGCCCTTGGAGTCAGCTGGGGTTTATTGTTGCCCTTGTTTGCCTCTGGGTAGGAGGTAGTTTTCCTCTTGCCGGGTTTTTCTTTTGTTTTTATTTTCATGCATGGTGGGGGGCCTGCCTTTGGTTGGTTGTCCCCTATCTATATTTAAGAATGCAATGAAATGTCATTTTCTGGGTGAGCCCCAGAGGCTCCCCTGGCACATTCCCTTCCTCCCTTCAGTCGGGGTCTTTTCACTTTGTTTTGATGCTTAGCTTCTGAACTGGAGAGCTAGGTAGCCGGCATGGAGGGGGGGGTCTCCCACCTCTCTTCTCAGGGAGAAGAGGAGAGGGCCACGTGGATGAGCAGCGCGACTACAAGGTGTCACGTTTCCTTGGGATTGGAGAGAGTTCTGCCTCTCTGTTCCATTTTTGGTTTCAATTTTCTTACTGTGTGGGGCAGTTTAGTTATGCCTATCTTTCTGGGTGCCTAACCACGGTTGATGGCAGATAAGGAAAAACCCCAACCACAGGGGGGGGGGGGTCCAAGGCCATTGCTCCCTGAACCTCTCTGAGGGGGCCTGGTTCTGGCTTGTGGACCCTGGTAGGTTAAACTCCATAGATTAATGCCCTGGTCTAATGATTCACATATTAGCCTGATAGCTCCGGGGAGCCTCCATGTCTTGCCCAGAAAATGGTGTTTCATTATATACAATGCTGGTTTTTTTAAATCATCATTCTTTAAACATAGGTGTTCAAGATGGTTGTGTCAGAATTGCAGTCACAGATTTCGGAATCATTGGCACCACTTCCGAAGGAATTTTGGTCAGGAAGTGAAGAAATATGCTGGTCCCAAGATCACAAGGTTAGTTCATAACATTTAATGTCCCATATCTGTGATAAATGTAGAAGATGATTTTTTGGCTTTATTTTCACAACTAATTGAAGTTCTTTAGCTCATGAGAATCACATGATGTAAATAACATGCAGTGCAAACAATGAGTCACAATAATGTGGCTGAAGATTAGACACCTAATCCACAAATCGAAAATTTTTAAATTGACAACGTTTCAGTCTGTCCTGGATAATGGTCCCAGACAGACCAAAATGTTGTCAGTTCTTCATTTTCAACTAACATGCAATGCTTGTCTGTATACCCTGAAATAAGTTTTAAATATATTTTAATTGCCAGGATTATGCATATTTATGGTCTTGCCAAACTTTCTGTTAATGGCCATGTATATACAGTGGAACCTCGAGTGATGAGCGACTCCAGTTATGAGCATTTCGAGTAACGAGCGAGCCACTCACAGAAAATTTGTCTCGATTTACGAGCTTTTGCTCGATTAACGAGCAAACTACATGGTGTTTCCGAGCATTCACTCTGGTTCTTGGATGCCTCCGATGACAGTGTTGTTGTTTCGCAAGACGACCATTTCGCATGACAAGCTCGGTGCAGGAGCGGATTAAATTTGTTAATTGAGGTGCCACTGTACACATATAAAGTATCCTCTAAGTCGGGAACTATGTCTGATAAGTCTGGATAAAAAGCTAACTTTGAATGTACTGAAACTCCTTTTTCTGGTAGAGCCCTGATGACTCCACAGAGCTATCTTGCTGAGATGGTTTCCCACTACAGGGGTCATATGAGTCTCAGGAGTCATGTTTGGCCTACCAGGGGCCAGAGCCTGGACACCACATAGAGGAGCAGAAAGCTAGGAATTGTTATGATCACACACACACACCAGGAAAGCATCCAGAAAGTAAGCAAAACAATACAGACTGCTGCAAGGTTCATAGAAAATGAAGCACTGGAAAAGTCAAAAGACAGTGCTAATGATTGATATAAAACATTTTTTCACTCGAAACTAGCTCGAACCCCTTATTACAGGTAGCTGCCAACCAACCAGCCCCAGGTCAGTCCAGAACTGGCGTACTATGAAGCTAGTAGAGGGGAAGGAGGAAGTCAGGGAGCCACTGGGGCTTTACCAGAAAGAGGCATTTCATTGCAGTCAAAACTGTTTTTTTGGTGGAGCCCCTTGATGGCTCCATAAAGCTAATCATAGAGAAGGAAGACATAGAACTTACCTGGGAGGTGGAGAACAGCAGCTTCATGAGTCTTCGGGACCCAAAAAGACTTCCACATCCCCAAAATCAGCTTATGACATGATAAAGAAAACAGCCAAAGCTGTGAACTTGCAAACATCATGGGCCCAAGGGGTAGACCACAGGTTGGCTAGCCTTAATGACACTGCAGACAACCTAAAATACATGAGCTTTGAAACAGGGAACTAAGGAAACTGGATTAACCACTGAGGCAGAATGGGTAGCATGCAGATAGCAGCCAACTGCAGCTACTGAACTCAACAGATGATGCACACCCAGCCAGACCAACCAATCATCAAATTCCAAAAGACCTCTTTGGAACCAGTTTGAAACCAATTCTGGTGGCTGCAAATGAAGAAACACCCACCAGGACTGAAAGAACGGAACCCCTGCCTCTGGAGGAGAGCAGCAACCTTCCCAACACAGCAACTGGAAGCAAGAACGAACAAAAATACCGGCTCAAACTTCCACAGCGAGACTCATATATGTAAGTAATGGTAATGTCTTTTCACAGACATATTAACATAGGATGAAAGTGTACTCTTATGTATATGTGTATTTTATGTAAAAATTTACACCAAGTCCAATTTGTCCAATTCGCACTCTCCTGAGTGCTTTATCAAGGTCTTTAATGATCCGTACTTACATCTCGATGGCTAATACCATTATTATTGGGTATTAGCCATTGATATGTAAGTCTCGTTCTAACCATACCGTGATAAAGTACTCGGGAGAGTGCCCATGAGCACTTTACATTTAACCCTTAGACCGAGCATATTACCGCGAATTTAGGGGGCATAACATAAAAAAATATTTGAATTATGTAAAAATAACTTAAAAATGTTAAACAAATCTCCAACTTATTTACTTCAGTGTCATGAAACTCATAAAAATATTTTCAGAAATTGATTTTAGAAAAATTTTTGAAAAATAAGAACGTTTTATTGATAAGAAAAACAGCTCCTAATAACTGTAACTGAAGGATTATGGAGTAAAAAAGAAATGCAAGCACCTGTCCTATGCTCAAAGAAGAATAGTAGTAAGAAGTGTCCACAAAGTGGATATGCAGTTGGTGCCTTTATATCATTGCCGAGAAATACATAATAACACAAAACATAATGAATAACTATGTTAATATGATCTATTTTGATATATATCATAGAAATACATTGTCCAATGTTAATATATGTTACTTTCATCATTCTCCCAAAAATATTTTTTCTGGGGGGAGCCCCGTCGGCTCCCCGGAGCTTTACCAGGCTGGTATGTTAATGTCAGACTTTGGCATCAGTCATGTGTATGGAGTTCTAGGGCCTACCGGGGACCACGGCCAGAACCTGGCCCCCTCAGAGAGGCAAGGGGAGCAATGGCCTATAGAAACCCCCGTGTGGTTGGAAGCATTCTATGTCTGCCATCGACCGGGTCAAGCATCCAGAAAGGTAAGCATTCCAAAACAAACTCCTATTCTCGTTAAAATTGCTACCAAAAGCCGAACTAGTGAATAGAACTCCCCAACAGTAAACAAGCAAACTAGTATGACGTCACACGTCACCGCGCCGCTGTCTGTGCAACTCCCCCCTCCCCGGGAGGGGGAAGGGGGAGCCCCAGACCTCTCACGCCGGCTATCCACCCATCAGTACTGAGGCTGGATGTCAAAACATGCGAAAAAACCGCAGACCGGAGGGAGGGAGGGTTGCCGGGGAGCCTCCGGGTCTCGCCCAGAAAATGGCGTTTCATTACATTCAACGCTGGTTTTCTAGGGGGAGCCCCGTTGGCTCCCCGGAGCTAACTACCCACAGAGGAAGGTCAAAGGGACGGAACCGGGAGGCGGACACCACGCACCCCTCAATGGAAGCGAGATAACCAGCAGCAAACGCCAACCCAAGACGGCACAGCCCCAAAAACAAATTAGCAATGTGTTGTCCAATTAGCACCTCGCCCATTGGCACCTCCTCCTACAGGGGTAGGAGGAGGTGGCCTGGGAGAGCCGACAACCCCACCAATTCAGTTCTTGACTGATGGTGCTGGAGGTCTGACGTCGACTCGGGCTGCAATTTCTTTTCTGGATTTTTGCCTTAATGGCTGTATCTACTCTTGTTGTTTGTGCCAGCCTGGTGTTCTACAGGTTACCAGGGCTGTATGCTTTTAGAGTTACCATTCCTAGATGCTCCATAAGTGCTGCCCTTGCATGGTCAAGGTTATCTTCTCTGGGGCTTTCGGGAATCACTCCCCTTTAGAGGGTGTCCTCACTTGTAGTTTTCCTCGCCTTTGGGGTAGGCTCACCTAATTGTACTCGCCTAATTGTGTTTGCGGGGGTTGAGCTCTGGCTCTTTGGTCCTGCCTCTCAACCGTCAATCAACTGATGTACAGATTCCTGAGCCTACTGGGCTCTGTCATATCTACATTTGAAACTGTGTATGGAGTCAGTCTCCACCACATCACTTCCTAGTGCATTCCATTTACTAACTACTGTGACAGTGAAAAAGTTCTTTCTAATGTCTCTGTGGCTCATTTGGGTACTCAGCTTCCACCTGTCTCCCCTTGTGAGTGTGCCACCCGTGTTAAATAATCCATCCTTGTCCACCCTGTCAATTCCCCTGAGAATTTTGTATGTGGTGATCATGTCTCCCCTACCTCTTCTGTCTTCCAGTGATGTGAGATTCAGTTCATGTAGTCTGTCCTCATAACTCATGCCTCTTAGTTCTGGAACTAGCCTAGTGGCATACCTCTGAACTTTTTCCAGCTTCATCTTGTGCTTGACTTGATACGGGCTCCATGCTGGGGCTGCATACTTCAGGATTGGCCTTACATATGTGGTATACAAAGTTCTGAAGGATTCCTTACACAGGTTTCTGAAAGCAGTTCTGATGTTTGCCAGCCTCACATAGGCCGCTAGATAACCTACGACGAGAGAGGAAATGGCGATAAGAATGCCAGGAAACTTCATTCTGATGCCAAGATGAAGCTCGCAGGTGAGACACCATCAATGAACCACCTGATCACCATACAAGTGGAGGTACACCCTTCGTTTCCTGGGGACCTTACATTGGTTGCTACATCTCCAGCTTCCTCTTTAGGATTTTCAGGGTTCAGTGCCTAGGCTCCTACCCATTCTCTTGCTTGATGTGTTCACAGATGCCTCGTCCCTTGGCTGGGGATTTGTGACCAGTGCTCACCAGGCTGGTCAGGATCATTGGGGTCCATCGTTCCGTCTGGCTTACAGCACAGTGCGGGAGTTCGCAGCAGTGTGATTCCTGCTGCGGTGGATTCGTCTCGCTTGGGGCTTTGTGATCCGGCTACATGGTGGCCGGCCCAGCCTCGATTTCAGACGCTACTTGCTTGGTGACTGAACCCTGGGCATTTTCCGCGGCTCGGTCTCTTTCAGCAGATTGGATTGATTTGGTACATGGCTGGTTCAATCTACTCCTCCACTCTCTGAGTCTGCTCTTTTTGATGAGGGTGTACCTCCACTTGTATGGTGATCAGGTGGTTCATTGATGGTGTCTCACCTGCGAGCTTCATCTTGGCATCAGAATGAAGTTTCCTGGCATTCTTATCGCCATTTCCTCTCTCGTCGTAGGTTATCTTCTACAGTATTTTTGTTCGGGTTGTTTTGTCCTTTCTTTCTTGGCTCTTTCAGGACCATCATTTGATTTCTAATACTGTTGCCTCGTATTGTGCGAAAAACCACTCTAGCTTGCGTTCGGGGTGGATGTCACTTATGCCCTATTCCGTAAGCTTTCTCATGCTTTGGTTCGCCTCCGGTCTGCTCATGCGTCACCTGAGCTGTCCTGGTCCTTGGACCGGGTTCTCTCTTTTCTCCTCCTTGGTTCAAGATTGTTTTTCCGGGCTCTGTTTCTGTTGGCATTAGCCTTCGGGGGGTGGTTTTGTGAGCTTCATGCTCTCCTCCGGTGCAGGGTTTTCTGCTCTTTCAGTCCTGGTGGTCAGTTTGTTCGGTTGCAGTCGTCTCCTTCATTTCTGGCGATGAACGAGGTGGCAGGCTTTCGGAGGGGCCCTTGGGTCATCGATACTTGGTTGGTCAGGCCGGGGGTGCATCATTTGTTGTGTCTGGTTGTGGCCCTTCGCTGTTATCTGTGTGCCTCGGCTTCTGTGGCCGGGGATGCGCTTTGGGTAGATCCAATTTCCCTCGCTCCCTGTTCCAGGGCTCGAGTCTCTCATGTCGTCCGCACGATTATTAGGTCGAGCCAGCCTGAGGTCTATCCTCGTGCCCATGATGTTCGTAAGTATGTTGCTTTGGCTACCGGGTTTGGCAACATGTCTTGGGCTGATATTTGGGTGCGTGGGTTTTGAAGATCATACAAGGTCCAGGCTGCCTGTTATTTGGTAAATGTTCCTGGTCCCAGTTGTTCATGTGTGGCTTTGGGTCGCAGGTTGCAACCTGTTGTCTCATCTTCGAGTTGGTGTGCGTTGTGGCCTTCTCCCTGGTAAGTCCCTTGTTTGCTTGCCTCTGATTAGGTAGCTCCAGGGAGCCAGAAGGGCTCCCCACAGAAAACAAGCATTGAATGTAATGAATTGCCATTTTCTGGGTGAGCTCTGGAGGCTCTCTGGCACCCTCCCTCCCTCCAGTCAGCGGTTTCGTTTTTGATTCTCGGCCTCCGAACTGAGGTGTATGTAGCGGGTGTGGGGGTTCGGGGTTACCCCCCCTCCCCCTTCTGGAGAGGGCTGGACTGTGTGGACAAGTGACGCATTGGCAGTGTGTTGTTTGCTTGTTTTTTTTCGGTTTTGCGGGAGTTCTGCTTTTCTGTTCGATCTTCGGTTGCACTTTACCACATGGAGTTTGTTTTGTTATGCCTACCTTTCTGGGTGCCTAACCCTGGTCAATGGCAGACATGGAATGCTCCCAAACACATGGGGGTTTCCATAGGTCATTGCTCCCTGTGCCTCTCTGAGGGGGCCAGGTTCTAATATAGCATATATCAGGCCAATAGCTCCAGGGAGCCTTCAGGGCTTACCCAGAAAATGGTGTTTCATATTCAATACCATCCTGTTTTCACATATCTAACATCTGGGTCTAATGTATATCTAATTCAAATATAATCTCTCTCTTCTTAGGAATGGGATGCATTCCCAAATATAACAGTTCACTTGGCTTACAACAACAACTCAGCATTTACCATAACACTCCAACCCCAATCATATCTACGCCCTGCTCCAGATGTCATCACTGGCACCAAAGATTGCTGGATGTTGGGAATTGACGAGTCACAAACAGGCACAGTGTTAGGTAAGCCCTATAAATGTGTATTAATTATTTCTTAATGTATCAATAATGATGATAGTAATGTCTATTATTATAGTCTGTGGGTTGGTTGGTGTTGTCGTCGTTGATCCTTCTCTATGGACAACCCAACCCACAACTCGGTAGAGTGCTTATACTAGGAGATCACCCTTGGCGCTTCTGGCTCTTGGAGAGGGGCTCAACGTCACACATTTAGGGGATGCGGCTCCAACACTTAGCCTCGTTGTCATGTGCACACACCCACTCAAGCCGCTGTGACTCCCCACTCTCTCCTTATGAGATATGATCTCCTCAATCCCCCTTTGACTTACTAGTATTACCTTCTACCCTGTCCACAGCAGTGGTTCTTGGTTCTTTCTCTCTCTCTCTCTCTCCTTCTGTACTATTTCATGGGAAGCCTCACTAGGACAAGGGCAAACACCGGCAAATTGGGATACATTTACTGGACAAAGCACATACACACATACAGTAATAATGAATCCTATACTCTATACTATTACAATCAGGTTGCACTCCAACACCATCAGAACTCTATTATCAGCTTATCAAGTGGTATCCTATCTCCTGGTTCACCACCTGATACTATCAACCTCCTCAAGTTGATCAAGTCTACATACACTGTTGCACCATCAGCAAGAGAATATATATATGTATCTATAAATGTGTACAAAGAAAATCAGCATATGAATGCAATAACAAGTATCAGTATAAATGTTCCTTGATACACAACAATGATCAATCGATCACTCTATCAGCCCTAGAACACATACATCTGTAGGTAATCCAGCCTACGACTGTAACTCTAAACTTCAGTATAAAACACTCCTTGACATAAGAATGCAAACAGTCACTCACCTCTCACTGCGTCTTGCACGCTAATGACAACCAAACACTATCAACTCCCTATAAGTATTCCACCAGAACTTCCCTTCCACCTCTGGAAGTTCACTACCCTGATATCTTCAGGTTCTTCTGGGCTTCACTACCAGGATCCTCTGCAGCTCCTCCAGGCTGCTATCATGAAGTTTCCCTGAGCAACTACGGTGCTTCACCCTTCTGCTAGGTTCCTCCACAGCTCTCTTGGCTGCTACACCATGAAGTTTCCTCGAGCAACTATGGTGCTTCTCCACCTCTACAGAAGCACGTGACACTCTTCACTGCTTTTCCTCACAGCTCGAGGTCCTCTGCTTCACTGCCTTGGAGTCTCATCAATTACTTCATCTATGCTGGCTTCGAAGTTCTCAGCAACTTCTTCCCCAAAGACAAACCTGCAACCCATCGACACTCCAATAAAATTGTTTCCCCTTTAACACATAAACAAAAATAATCACACAATATGTTTGCCTCCAACCTCTATCTGTCCTCTACATACAGTGAGAGTGGACTCCCCCGTTTTGGGCGGGTCCATACTCCACCTCGCCCGGCGGGCCTCACTCACTCCGGGAGGGTCCTTCACCATCAGGAGCCGGGCTCCCTCAGTTGCCCGCCAGCGCTCAGAGGGGACGGACGTCGCTCCGTGTTCCTCCCTCTCCACTCTCTTATTTCAGGCCTTCTGCCTTATTAAAACATGTCTAACTTATCAATAAACATTGCTACTGTCGCTGGGCACACGACCAACTACAAGCAATCACTATGAACTGGCATATATCGTGCTTACCACAGATTATCTGGTCGAGGGCGCTCTCCCTCTGACGGCGTCTGGTCAGGGCGCTCCACACAGCCCACGAAAATGCCTCTGAGCAGCTTATTAAACTCTCCTCGCCGTCCAAGACTTGAGACCACAACGTTCTCAGCTCAATTCCACAGCTGGCACGTCTGCACACTTCTCTTCTCTTGGAGATATATCACTAGGGGTTCCTTTCTGACGGGAGCTCAACGGAGCGCGGCTTTCCCCCTGCGATGTCACGTCCGTGGGGTGTCCAACGTCCTGGCGGACAGCCTGTCACGGTTCATTCTGGCACCTCGCGTTTTCACATGTCTTACTCGGGTCGTGGTGACCTGCCTGCGTCTGGTAGGTGTTTGGGTGCTGGCCTATCTCGACGACTGGCTGGTTTGGGCTCCCAGCCGGTCCGCGTGTCTGTTCGCCAGGGATTTGGTTCTTTCCCAGCATGCTGGGTTCGGGTTCGTGGTGAACTGGAGGAAGTCCCATCTGGTTCCCTCTCAGGTTCGGTCTTGGCTGGGTCTGGTTTGGGATGCTCGCACTGCTTCATTGTCTCTTCCTACGGCGGCTCTCTTGCGCGCACGGTCCCGCCTTCGCCCGTTTCTGAGGGGGTTCCCGGGTGACGAGGCGATTGCTCGAGAGTTTGTGCGGGAGCTTGAACTTTGCCATGATGGTCTACCCGTCGGGTTGGGTGTGGCTACGTCGGCTGTTCTGGTTCCTTCGGGGCCGGCCCTTCCGCCTCTCTCACGATCGTTGGGTTCGGCCTCCGGGGGCTTTGCGTCGGTTGCTGCGTCGCCGGCTTCCTCTTCAGGTTTTTCGGGGTTCGGTGCCTTGGCGCCTTCCCAAGCCCTCGCTCGATGTGTTCACGAATGCTTCGTCTCTTGGCTGGGGTTTTGTGACCAGTACTCACCAGGTCAGCCAGGGGCGGTGGGGTCCGTCCTTCCGTCGAGCTCACAGCACGGTACGGGAGTTCGTGGCTGTGTGGATGTCGCTCCGGAGGATTCGAGTCACTCACGGATCGATGATCAGGCTCCATTCAGACTGCTTCCCGGTGGTTCATTGCCTGAACCGCGGGGGTTCGATGCGGTCCTTGGCTCTTTGGGGCTGGTCGCCTCAGTTGACTCGTCTGCTGAGTTCTCGGGGTTTGGCTCTCCTGGCAGTTCACGTCCGGGGGGTTTCCAACGTCCTGGTGGACGGCCTGTCCCGGTTTCTAACCCTTTCCATGGAATGGACGGTTGATGCCGACTCCTTCAGTTGGCTGTGCCGGACGTTCGGGACTCCGAACATGGATCTCTTCGCATCGGCATGGTCAAGGCATCTCCCGGTATACGTGACGCCCTTCCCCGACTGCGAGGCCGTCGTGGGTCAATGCCTTCAGGAAGGACTGGGCGAGGTGGGGTTACCTGTACCTCTTTTCCCCAGTTCCGCTGTTGCTCCAGGTCCTGACTCGCTTGGAGACTTACCGAGGTCGAGTTGTCCTTTTGGCTCCTTGGTGGTCAGCCCAGCCTTGGTTTCTGGCGCTGCTTGCTCGGTGTCCGAACCCGAGGGTCTTCCCGCGGCTCCGCCTCTTCCAGCAGATCGGTCCAGCCCTGTACGAGGCTGGTTCGCCTACCTTTCTGGGTGCCTATCCCAGTCGATGGCAGACATAGAATGCTCCCAATCATAAGGGGGGTTTCTGTAGGCCATTGCTCCTCATGCCTCTCTAGAGGGGGCCAGGTTCTGGCTCGTGGTCCCCGGTACACAAGAACTCCATGCATTGACTGATGCCTGAAAGTTATACATATCCATTCAGCCTATATAGCTCTGGGAAGCCTCCGGGACTCACCCAGAAAATGGCGTTTCATTACATTCAACGCTGGTTTTTTAAACTCACCTGTAGTGAATCAAAGTGTATTAACACTTTCGCCCGGGCATGACGCAGCATTGCGTCATCCGTTTACTGTCGGTAATGCCGGGGATGACGCAGCATTGCGTCATCCACTTTAAATAATCGCCAAAAATCAGGTTTTTATCCGATTTTTTGGGGACTGGTTTTAAAATGCGCGCCGATGTCTTCCCATTTTCTTTGTTGAGCCTGGTGGCCCTCAGGCAGCTTGGCACACGCCATGGGCCCATTGTTTTCGCTCCACTGTTGTGACCAATGTCGCCTCCCCTCGCATCTCAAACGTGTGAACATTTCGGCTATTTTCCGTGGCTATATTTCTTACTGCGGCTTTAGAAACTATCTACGCTTACTCCACGATGGATAGTGATCATGAACAAGGCCCTTCCAGGAAGAAAATTGTGAAAGAAAGGCTTGAAAAGGGCGGGAATTGGGAGTGTAGCTGGAAGGCGTCTGAGCGCTCACTTGCGGCTAACGCGTGGCCCGTCTTCAACTCGTCGGCGGTTGGAGCGTGACCAGGTTTTTTATTTTATATGCTAATGTTCCTCTAGAGAATTCTATTGCGAACCCATTGAAACCAAAATGAAAGACCTAGGACGAAAATTGAGGTGACCAGAGTGAAAATAGTGAAAAAAAATTTCGTGTTTGCGCGCTCCTGGGTAACTCGTTCGCACTTTCTCTGTTTGCTGCAGGTAATTAGCCGGGCTTTTGGAGTTTATATGCATTTAGTGCTGTAGAGAATTCTATTGCGAACACAATGATACAAAATTTAATCTCGTAGGACGAGAATTAAGGTGACAAAGTTGAAGAGAGTATACACTTTTCAGAATTTACGCGCGCTCCCGTGACACCCTGGGTCCCATATCGCACAGTTGAGGGGTGGCGCGCGGGGTACGCCAAAGTGTTAATTTTCTAAATGTTTAGTATTTTTATTGTGCTTCCTTATTTTTTCCTGAATCATGCCCCCATAACTTATGGAAGTGGGATAATGTGTCAGTTTTGCTCTCACTAAAATGTTAATTAACATATAATATTAAAATAACATAAAAATTAATTAAAAGTTTGTTTAAATACAGTATCTTCTTGTAGGTGCTGTAGTGCTGGAGGGTTTGTGTGTAACATTTGATCGGGATCGGAATGTGATTGGGTTCTCTGAATCACGCTGTGGTCCTGCCATTACTCTCGGAGAGATATACAACTTCTCAGGTAGTATACTATAGAATTTTATTATATATTATATATGTAGAAAAAGTGCAGCTTTCTGGGAGGGCTTCCCCTCCGTATCTCCATGAGCTACCCATCTGAAGTCCTCCAAACCCAGGTACCACACTAGGCTCTAGCAAGCGGCATATACAAGAGATCAGTACCAAAATCTTGCCCCACTCAATAGCAGCAAGAGAAGTCTGGGGGCAGTACTAGATCCACCATAGTAACCATGGGGAAAACCCAACAGAAACCCACCTGTTCTGGTTCCTTCTGAGCAGTCTATTTCACTGCTCTCGCTGGGTTCATCCTGCAGGAGCCTTGTGTTGGTTGCTGCATCCCCGGCTTCCACTTCGGGTTTTCTGGGGAAAGCCCCTACAGCTCCCCGGAGTTTATCCAGGCTGATATTGCTATAATAGACTTTGGCATCAGTCATGTGAATGGAGTTCTGAGGCCTACTGGGGACCATGACCTAGATCCTGGCCCCCCTCAGAGAGGCATGAGGAGCAATGGCCTATAGAAACCCCCATGTGGTTGGAAGCATTCTATGTCTGCCATCGACCGGGTCAGGCACCCAGAAAGGTAAGCGCCCCAAAACAAACCCCCTATTCTGGTTAAGAAATTGCTACTAATAGCCGAACTAGTAGACAAAACTTCCCAAACAAAAATGAGCATGACAACAACACGTCGCCGGGCCATCGTCTACGCAGCTCCCCTCCCCCCCCCTCCCCAGGACGGGGAAGAGGGAGTCCCAGACCCCTCGCGCCGGCTACCCAAACCCGAGTTCTGAGGCTGATGTGCTAGGCTGAAGTCGTGTGCTTAGGCTCCTGATTTGTCTCGAGCTCTGTGCCTTGTTCTGTAGGGGCTGTTCCTTGGGGGGTGCACAAGCAAGGAGTGGGAGACTGGACTGGACCTTGTATTTAGCATCAGATGGTTCTGGGAATCAACGTCCCTGTGGCCCATTCTCTGTCCAAACCTTCTGGTTGCTGAACTGGTCAACCAGGCTGTTGGAAGATCCGGACAATTTCTTTATGCGTGATATCCAAACCCCTGTAAATATAACTGATATAAGCACGAGCATGGCAAATTTTGAAAGAGAAATTGACAATATACCCATGCACTCAGCCCCGGGTTCAGACTCATGGAATTCAATATTTATAAAGAAATGCAAAGTGCCAGTAGCACAGGCACTTAGTATAGTGTAGAGGAAGAGCTTGGACACGGGGAGATACCAGATGTGCTTAAAGCAGCAGACATAGCCCCTCTACACAAGGTAGGTAGCAAAGCATTGGCAAAGAATTATAGACCTGTTGCACTAATGTCCCACATAATAAAAGTATTTGAGAGAGTGATCAGGAGTCAGGTCACTAGTTTCATGGAGACCAACGACCTCCACAATCCAGGCCAACATGGATTTAGAGCAGGAAGATCATGCCTCTCACAGCTACTTGACCATTATGATAAAATCACTGAGGCATTAAAAGAAGAACAGAATGCAGATGTGGTATACACGGATTTTGCAAAGGCATTTGATAAATGTGACCATGAAATGATAGCACACAAAATGAGGTCAATGGGAATAACTGGTAAAGTAGGACACTGGATACTCAGTTTTCTGTCGAATAGAACACAGAGAGTAACAGTCAACCATATAAAATTGCGTCCAAGCGCAGTTAAAAGCTCAGTACCTCAAGGTACAGTTCTTACACCATTGCTTTTCCATATTCTCATATCTTCTTGAGGTTATTTTGAGATGATTTCGGGGCTTTAGTGTCTCCGCGGCCCGGTCCTCAACCAGGCCTCCACCCCCAGAAAGCAGCCCGTGACAGCTGACTAACACCCAGGTACCTATTTTACTGCTAGGTAACAGGGACATAGGGTGAAAGAAACTCTGCCCATTGTTTCTCGCCGGCGCCCGGGATCGAACCTGGGACCAGAGGATCACAAGTCCAGTGTGCTGTCTGCTCGGCCGACCGGCTGCAGTCCCATCCCGTTATATCAGATATAAACTCAAATACAAGGCACAGCTTCGTATCATCCTTTGCAGATGACACAAAAATCAGCATGAAAATTACCTATGCTAAAGATAATGAAAAACTACAAGCAAATATTAATAAAGTTTTCTACTGGGCAGCAGAAAATAACATGATGTTTAACAGCGATAAATTCCAGGTACTCAGATACCGTAAAAATGAGAACCCTAAACATAATACAAGGTACAAAATGCAAACAAATTTGCCCATAGTAGGAAAGCAACATGTAAAGGATTTGGGAATAATGATGTCTGACGACCTAAATTTTAGGGAGCATAACCAAGCAAATATTGCGGCAGGCAGGAAAATGATAGGATGGATTATGAGAACTTTCAAATCCAGGGATCCCATCACAATGGTTGTATTCTTCAAATCACTTGTGCTGTCCTGTCTTGAGTACTGCTCAGTACTCACTTCCCCATTTAGAGCAGGAGAGATTACTAAAATAGAGGGTTTACAGAGAACATATACAGGATACATAAACAAGATAAAGCATCTAAATTATTGTGATTGTCTCAAAGCTCTCCAGATGTACTCACTAGAAAGACGACGGGAGAGATATCAGATAATATACTCCCAGAACCCCATCAACTGGGTATCAACCAGGGGTTTCCCCTCCCCCCCCCCCCTCTTCGTACGAGTTGGATTTGGTGTCTGCCCATTCCTGGGGTCAGTTCCATGTCCCTTAGGGTGCTTTGGTCCTGTCTTTCCGGAGGTTTTCGGCTTTCTGCATCTCACCTCATGTGGTCCGGGACGCCTTTGCGGCTTACCTCCTGCACGACCCAGATTATGCCTCTATCGTGGATCTGTTTTCGTTCAGGCTTGGGTCTTCGTTTCCCTACTGGATTTGTTATGAGGTTCCAGAGTCATCCTGGCCAGTGGACTGTCCTGTGTTTTTGTTGGAGGCTTGGCATACGTTCTGTTGTTCCCCACGCTTGAGAGGCTTGAGGAGTGGATGGTTCAGGTTTTCCTGGAGGGTGAGTTTGAGCACCTCAATGCGTGCTTGTTTGCCCCTGCCTTTCCTGGGGATGTTGGCTTTGTGCAGCTTCACGTGCAAGTTCCCTCCCTTTCGGCTGCCCTGATTGCTGAGGATTTGCGCGCTTGTGACCTGCTGGCTTCGGTCTTGCGGTTCTTTTTCCTCCTGGAGCTGTCTGCGGATTGGCTTGAGGAGGATGTGGAGGCATTTGGGGCTGTTCCTGGGTCTAGTGCCTTGGGCTCTGCGGCGAGCGTATCGTCTGCCCTGTTGAACTGTTTGAGCTGATCCTACGACCGGATGCAGTGTGTCTGTTTAATGCTAGTTTTGGAGTCAGCGCCACCTTCGGACCCGTCTTCGTCAGAACGGTGTTCACCTTGTGCATGGGTCGGGTTCTCGTAAGGGGCGTTGGCCTTATCGCAGATCGTCCCATTGACAGGGCGATGGGGAAGAGGCTCGCTCTGTTTGCTCATGCCTGGTCTCACGATTTGTGGGCTTTTCAGGTCATTTCAGCCAGCCTGCAGTGGGGTTTGGTGGCCCTCTCCTCCTTCGGGGAGTTCGGGGCTGGCGGGGCAGACCTGTTCTCCTGCGCTCTGTCAGGTCATCTTGGAGTTGGTGCGCTTGGGCATGGTTGAAACGACGATGTCTCTCAGATGGGTTTCCTCTGTTCCCAGTCCTGAAACGGGACTGTGCGAACCTGTAGTTCATTCTGGACTTGTCCCATCTGAACCCCTGGGTTCTTTACCCCTCCTTTTGGATGACTACTCTGTTTCAGGTCTAGCTTCTGTTGGAGCCGGGTGCTTGGATGGTGTCCCTGGATCTCCGGGATGCTTATTGCCACATCCTGATTCATCCGGGGTTCAGGGACTGGCTAGGTTTTGTTGTATGGCATCTTGGTTACTGCTTGTGTTGTCTCCCATTTGGGTTGAACCTGGCACCCCGCGTTTTCACATGCCTTACCTGGATCGTGGTGGCCCGTCTGTCTCTTAGGGCGCCTGAGAGCTGGGTGGACAGCGCTTCGGATTTGTAGTCCTGAGGTTCTGGGTTCAATCCCTGGTGGAGGCGGAGACAAATAGGCAAAATGTTTCTTTCACCCTTATGCCCCTGTTACCTAGCAGTAAATAGGTACCTGGGAGTTAGACAGCTGCTACGGGCTGCATCCTACGGGTGGAGGCCTGGTCGAGGACTGGGCTGCGGGAACACTAAGCCCTGAAATCAGATCAAGATAACTTCAAGATAATCTTACGTGTTTGGTGCTGGCCTACGTCGACGACTGGCTGGTCTGGGCTCCCAGCCAGTCCGCGTGTCTGCTTGCCAGGGATTTGGTTCTTTCCCAGCTCGCTGGGTTCAGGTTACTGGTGAACTGATGGAACTCCCATCTGGTTCCTTCTCAGGTTCGGACTTGGCTGGCTCTTGTGTGGGACTCTCGAACCGCTTCCTTGTCTCTCCCTCTGAAATCTCTTCTTCGGCTGTGCTCGCGCCTTTGCTTGTTTCTGGAGTGTTCCCGGGTCACTTGGTGGTTGCTCGAGGGTTTGTGCGGGAGCCTGAACTTTGCCATGATGGTCTACCCGCCGGGTCGGGTGTGGCTTCATCGGCTGTTCTGGTTCCTTCGTGGACATCCCTTCCGCCTGTCTCGCAATCGCTGGTTTTGGCTGCTAAGTCGCCAGCTTCCTCTTCGGGTTTTTCGGGGTTCGGTACCTTGGCACCTACCTGAGCCCTCTCTCGATGTGTTCATGGACGTGTTGTCTCTTGGCTGGGGTTTGTGACCAGTGCTCATCAGTCCGGTGGCGGTCCGTCCTTCCGTTGGGCCCACAGCACGGTGCGAGAGTTTGTGGCGGTGTGGATGTCACTTCAGAGGGTTTGGGTCGCTCGCAGATCGACGATCAGGCTCCATTCAGACTGCTCCCTGGTGGTTCATTGCCTGAACCATGGGGATTTATTGCGGTTCTTGGCTCTTTTGGGCTGGTCGCTTCAGGTGATTCATCTGCTGAGTTCTCGGGGTTTGGCTCTCCTGGCCACTCACGTTCAGGGGGTGTCTATACAAATTTGTACTCTACAAATCACTTGTACTGTCCCATCTTGAGTATTGCTCAGTACTCACTTTTTTTCCCTTCAAAGCAGGAGAGATTGCTGAAATGGAGGGAATACAGAGAACATAGACGCAATAAAACACCTAAATTATTGGGATCGTTTCAAAGCTCTCCAAATGTACTCACTAGAAAGGAGACAAGAGAGAGATAAAATAATATGCATGTGGAAAATACTGGAGGGCCAGGTCCCGAATTTACACAGTAAAATGACAACATACTGGGGTGAACGATATGGAAGAAAATGCAGAATAGAACCAGTGAAGAGCAGGGGTACCATAGGCACAATCAGAGAACACTGTGTAAACAGTGTATGAGCCTGATGTGGTAGCTCGGTTTGTAAGATTCCAGGTGGGTAGCTCCATGAAATATAGAAAGGAATCCACCAGAGTTTTTTTAATTATAATCAGTACTGGACGTTTTATTATACTGTATTATTTGGAAATATCAGGTATTAATGGCACCTTAACCAATTGATCTGGATAAATGAGGTTTCATTATTGATTGTATTAATTGAAGTATGTTTTCATTCAACAGATGTGCTGTCGTGTGTGTATGTGCCAAGTGTAGTGGATGAACTGACAGTAGCATCTTATGTTATGATTGGAATCGTTGTACTGCTCTCACTGCCTCTAGTATTGGCAGCATTGAGGTGGACTTGGAAATCTCTCATTAAGCCGCGCATTAACCCTGAGCTCCCATTTCTTACCTTGGATGAAACAAACACCTGAGAATTCAACATCATAGTTTAAATATGCTTTGTATTGTGTCATAATTAAGTTATCATAGATGCAGCAATTTGCTAATCTGTCACATTCATAATACTAGCAAACCTTGAACTACTTTTTTTATGATTTACTGGAAGGGGTGTCCAGTGTTGCCCAGGATAGACTGTATTTCCCCACCCTTCTTCCAACACACACACACACAGGACCACTTGGTTTGTGGACTTAAGTTATCCGAAAGTTCCAGTTTCACAATTGGGGGGTTGGGGTTTTCACACCTCCCAAACAACATTCGGGAAATGGTCTGCCAGGCCTCGCGCTGGCCCAGGCTTGGGAGATGGTCTAGTTTGCCCACTGACCGTGTCGGGCGTCACTCTAGTGCCTCATACCCTGTGATGTCACTGATTCATGGCCCATTGTTCCCATTGTTTTGATTTGTCACGAGGCTGGGGGTGTTTATTCCGTGACTTGTTGGATATATCTGTACAATGTAGGAACATCCGTGCACAATGTCGGCTCCAAATGCACGCATTGTGTCAGTGATGGCTGACTGGTGGGTGCATGGGCGGGGCAGAGTGGGCAGGCCAGCAGGGATGGGGGTGGGGGATGGGATAGCTGGTAGGCAGGGTGAGTAGGTGCATGGGCAGGGATGATGGCTGGGTGAGTGGGCGGGTGGGCAGTGTAGATGGATGGATTGGTGGCTGACTGGTGGGCAGGCTGGGTGGGTAAGTTAATCGGTGGGCGGGCTAGGTGGGTTGCTGGGCAGGCTGGGTGGGTGGGCTGGGTTGCTGGACAGGCAGGCTGACTTGGTTGGTGGGCAGGCAGGCAGGCTGGCTGGGTGGATTTGGTGGGGGGGGGGGGGGCAGTCTTGAATGGGTTCGGGCAGGTAGGCAGGCTTGGGTGAGTTTGTGCGGGTAGGTGGGCTTGGTTGGGTTTGGGAGGGTTGGCAGGCTTTTAGGCAGGCTTAGGTGGGGCTCAGGTAGTTTTGGGTGGGTAGGTGGGCTTTAAATGGGTTTAGTTGGGTTCAGGCAGGCTTGGGTGGGTTCGGGCAGGCTTGGGAGGGTTTGGGCGAGCTTGGGAGGGTTTGGGCGAGCTTGGGAGGGTTTGGGCGAGCTTGGGTGGGTTTGGGGGGGCTTGGGTGGGTTCTGGCAGGCTTGGATGGGTTCAGGCTGGTTTGGGTTGGTTAGGGTGGATAGGCGAGCTTGGATGGGTTAGGGCGGGTAGGAGTGCTTAGGTGGGTTCGGGCGGGCTGGCGGACTATCACAGTCTGGCTGTGGCCACACCACATTCCCTCAGCTGCCCCATCCCTGCTACAACCTAACCCTCCCCCCTTCCCATCCCCATACCGGACCCTCCCAGAAATATCCCTTCACCCTTCCAGGCACGTGTAGATGGGTATTAATACAGTTCTTATTCTGGGCAACCTTCCTTCCAGATGGTGGCCTTGGAGGCAGACTGACTGCTCTGACTGACTGACTGCCCTGCCTTACTTATATACAAGAAGGTACATTGGGTTTATGAGAGTACATAACATTGGTGTTGTATAAACATCAGAATCATGTTGTTTACAAATTGTGACTGGCATTCACAGTTGTGGTTGCTACCACAACTGTGAATGCCTAGCAACCTCTGACTGGTTATGACTGACTGACTTGTGACTGAATACCTGACTGACCAGTACAATTTGTATATGAAGTTTTTGAAAACAAGATCAAAGGAAATGAAACAAATGTCAATTAAAGAGTCATTTGCAAAGGCTTCCAAGAAAGCTCACATTGCCTCACCTGCACCTGACTCATCACATGTTGACCCAAGTGCGTCAACATCTGAGGTTACCTTACCACCATTAATCTCCACTTCAGTCAACCCAACACCACCAACATCCACCACCACCAACATCCACCACCACCTCATTCATGTAAATAACAATGCTCCATCAACAATTATCATCAACATAAGAAGTGGATGATGACTTCTCTTATTAGTGAGTACAGTACAAACAAAATACTGTCACAGTGATGCTATGAACCGGTTGATTTTCCCCCTAGGTTTTTCCCCCTTCATTTCTCATCCCTCCCCCACCCACATTTCTCATTTATTTTTATTACTACATTTCTAGTTTATGAACTTACAGTAACCGACGGGTTTTATACCAGAGGGGTTTGCAAAGCAAGTGGTCCTCTGTGTGTGTGTGTGTGTGTGTGTGTGTGTGTAACTAAGGTTGGTAATTACACACACACACACACACACACACACACACACACACACACACACACACACTCTCACACACACACTCTCACACACACACTCTCACACACACACTCTCACACACACACTCTCACACACACACACACACACACAGTAAATTCATAAACAACAAATTACAGATAAAGGATAATATTCAGAGGTTGAAAATGGGAAATAGATTCACGGAAATTGAAAAGGAAATGTGTGAAACACTAAACGAAAAGTTCCAAAGTGTGTTTGTACAAAATGAAATCTTTAGGGAACCAGACACAATAAGAATTCAAGTGAACAACATAGAGCACATAGAGGTGTCTAGAGACGAAGTGAAAAAATGCTCAAGGAGCTAAGTAAGAGCAAAGCAGTTGGTCCAGATGGAGTTTCACCATGGGTTCTGAGAGAATGTGCACCCGAGCTCAGCATTCCACTTCAAATGATTTTTCAGGCATCCCTGTGTACAGGAGTTGTAGCTGATGTGTGGAAAAAGGCTAACATAGTTCCAATCTACAAAATTGGAAGCAGGGAAGACCCCCTTAATTATAGACCTGTATCATTGACAAGTGTAATAGTCAAAATATTAGAAAAAATAATTAAAACTAAATGGGTAGAACACCTGGAGGAAAACGATATAATATCAGACAGACAGTATGGTTTTTGAACTGGAAGATCCTGTGTAACGAACTTGCTCAGTTTTTATGATCGACCCACAGAGATTTTACAGGAAAGAGATGGTTTGGTTGACTGCATCTATCTGGACCTAAAAAAGGCTTTCGACTGAGTTCCCCATAAGAGGTTGTTCTGGGAACTGGAACATATTGGAGGGGTGACAGGTAAGCTTCTAACATGGATGAAAAATTTCATAACTGACAGAAAAATGAGGGCCGTAATCAGAGGCAAGGTATCGGATTGGAGGAATGTTACGAGTGGAGTACCACAGGGTTCAGTTCTTGCACCGGTAATGTTCATTGTCTACATAAACGATCTACCAGTGGGAATACAGAATTACATGAACATGTTTGCTGATGATGCTAAGATAATAGGGAAGATAAGAAACCTAGATGATTGTCATGCCCTTTAAGAAGACCTGGACAAAATAAGTATATGGAGCAATACTTGGCAAATGGAATGTGAATAAATGCCATGTTATGGAATGTAGAATTGGAGAACATAGACCACACACAACCTATAAATTATGTGAGAAATCTTTAAAGAATTCTGACAAAGAAAGGGATCTAGGGGTTGTTCTAGATAGAAAACTGTCATCTGAGGACCACATTAAGAACATTTTGCGAGGAGCCTATGCTACACTTTCTAACCTCAGAATTGCTTTTAAATACATGGATGGCGAAATACTAAAGAAATTGTTCACGACTCTTATTCCAGACCAAAGCTGGAATATGAAGCGGTTGTATGGTGCCCATATCTTAAAACGTGATTATATATATGTATCATGTGGACAGTTTTTAATGTAATTTTTTCTCCTGATATTCGGGTTCTTTATTATGCTTCATCTTGAGGCAAAGCCCAATACCTTACGCCATATTGATGCTCTGTCCACAGATCATTCTCTCTCTCAAATCATATACATTGATTGTTTCCTACACCGCCCCACGGGTGCAGCTGCAAGTGCAGTTGCCTCTACCTATCAAACAGAACTATTTGCCTTGCTTGTTACACTAAAATGTGTACAAGTGTGTGTGTGTATGTATGTATTAACACGATGTACTGAACGGGGTGAGAATAGCTTGAGCTACCTCATCCCTTTGTGTATATTTTACCTCAATAAACTTATTTCAATTTCAATTTCAATTCAAGTCTCCAAACTTGATGCATTAATTGTGATTTTCTACCATCCTGCATTAATTGTAAGTGATTT